TAACAAAAAATCGCCCCAACACCATTAAACCAAGGACGCACCTTAGCTGTGTTTACGGAGGACAAATGTTTGAAGTCAAGTCCGCAGAGACTGCCTATCTACATCTTTTCCTGGAAACCATAAAAAACCAGTTAGCGCCAATGACTAAACAGCTTAAGAAATCAAAGAACCCAGAAGCGATCAAGAAAATTATTTGCGAGAAGTAACAGAAATTGAAACACCATCACTATCATTCTTCCAAAGTGCAAACCAAGTGCATCACACCAACTTCTCCATAACGAATACACAGAAAAAGCCAAAAATCAAACGCCTAATAAAGAACAAAGCTTGATACAAGCTTTTTCATTTTAATTGAAAGAAAAGCAAGAATCAAAACGCAATAAAGAACAAAGTTGAACAAGTTTCATTTTATGAACTAAAGTTTCACAAAGGAACAAAATAACAGGGCGGTAAATTGCAATAAAGTCACATAGAGCTTGTACTGTCCGAGGGTTGCCAAGACCTCGACAGTTCGACGAAAGGATCTTCATTGCTTCCGGCCATCCTGCCACACAGGATCGACCGATGTATGTTTCTCCGACTGATTGAAGGTCGAAGTGTTACCAGATGCAGAATCATTTTTATGAGAAACGGCAGTGGTGGTGCTAGGAATAGTAGGAATAACTCGTGGTCTTTTTTTCGTCTCATCACTGATACATAAAGCCACATCTTCAATGCCGCCCACTTCAAAAAAATCCTCTTCCATTTTGTCAGAGTTATGTCCCTCGTCAAGATTTGAAGATGTACCATAAAAGCCATAAAAGGAAAGTACGAAAGTTTCTCGCCACAGTGTTATCCTCCTTGCCAAAGGGGGTCGAATTTCTATTTGTCCAATTTCGCTGAAATGTCAGCAACACCAAAGTGAATCGATCCAGGAACTCTTCGTCTCGCATCCACGCCGCACCGCGAGCAACGGATACTATCATCCAGGGCCAAGATCAGATCCGCTCTTGGATTAAGATAACCGAAGATCACAGAATGACTCTGTTGACCAAGACGGCCCAAACAAAAGAAAAGCAAATCGGTGGAAAACTTCTCATTTGGAACCGAACATAAGAAACCTCTCAGGACAAACGCAATAATTGCTTTTTACGCTGGAGAGTTCCTGATAATCAGTGTCACTTTGATTCGGAAGGAATTCAAAAATGCCCCTCCATAGATGTCTTAAAAATCATATTCCAAATAAATCCGAGGAAATTCACCAATGCTATAGCTGTTCCTTCATCCACACAAATCCATTCGGGAACATCCTTCTAATTGGACCCAATATCAGCCAAACAATAAAGGGATCTCTAAAGGGTTTTTCTCCACTGTGGATCTGGCTGCCAAACAAGAAGATGTTTATTAAAGAACCAAAGACCACCGGTGACAGCCCGCCATACTACATTATATATTAAACGAAAGAGTAAACGGTTTATTCCAACTCCTGATAAATCCATTCCACCTAAAAGATGCCAGAGATCTGCTAATGTGCTGTTTTCATAGCCTCATATAAAATTGATTTTGCTATAAGTGAGAAAATATTACAAACCAAACAGAACTATTTTTTGGCGTCAAACTTGAGTAGTATGAATTTATTATATATTGGAATCCAGGTTCTCCTCTTCCTCGTCTATAGAGAGGTTGGGTCTATTAAATATTCTTCCATAACTTTAAATGAAAAGGTTCATGGCAAGATTTTATGGTTGTTATTTGTGTTCTAGATATCATGGAACGGGAGATTAGGTGGAAAAAGGGAGGTTTATGGATTCATGGTTTTTTAAAGACAAGGGTTGCACATTGGTGTAGTGAGTGGAAAACAAAAAGTTGCATTGTTTAAAGCATCCACAATGCACAACAAAGACCAAAGGGCTTTTTGACAAGGTTTAATTGAGTGGAAAGACAAAAATTTATAAGTGTTTCAAGGGTATATTTCCAACGTGGCACATGGTCTTATAAATAATATAATATATTTTTCAATGCCATAACGTTATAAACCCTTATTTGTTCCTTTATGTTTTTATTATTTGCTTAAACCTCCAACAGTTGATTTTCCTTTACTTTAAATTCAGTACTGTTTAAATATACTCAACCTGGATGCTTGCGGATTGCTTTTATAAATATATTATTTTATATATATATTATATGATATATATTATATATATAAAGGATCTGTGAAGTTTCTTTACCTGCATTTTGATTCAATCCCAACAGGCCGGGCTGAACGTTCACAGGCGGTCCGCTTCTAGAATAATTGAATATAATAGTTCGTTTAAGGACCGTCCCAAATGTCAAATAAGATTAAATGTGTTTATTATTAAAGAAAATGATGTTGACAAAAAAAAAAGGGGTTTGGTCTTTCATTTTTATTTTCGTGTTATTTTTTAAATTTGATATTTTTTATTATTATTAATTATTATATTATGTAGAGTTTGGAATATTTATTATTGTTTAGGAATTAAAATTCATATATTAAAGATCTGATGAGTTTCTTTACCTGGCCCATTTTGATTCAATCCCAACAGGCCGGGCTGAACGGATCCACAGGCGGTCCGCTTTAGAATAATTGAATATATAGTCGTTTAAGGACCGTCAATTTCCAAATAAGATTTAAATGTGTTTGATTTGAAAGAAAATGATGTTGATCAAGGGTCTTTCATTTTATTTTCGTGTTATTTTTAAATTTGATTATTATTATTATTATTATTATTATTATGTTAGATTTGGATTATTTTATTATTGTTATGAATTTTAAATTCGGACTGTAACAGTTTAAATTTAAATTATTGTATTATTAGGTTTTTATGTCTGGACTTATCCGCAGGCCCATCACTTAAATATTGGAGAACCAGTTTTTAATGAGCTCTTTTTTGGTACAGCTAGTTTTAGGACCGAGCCCGCACAGGCCGGCCGTGCCAGACTATCCGAAAGTTGCTACATTAAACCGTACAAATTTTTATAATCTAAATTTATAATCCTTAAATCAAAGTCATTTTATAATATGTTTAAATTGCTTTTTAACAGTTTATTGGATGATATTATACTATAGGTACTACTGGTTATATACCCTCACGTTTATGCAAATTTGTATATTTATATTGTCTTATATGGAAATTTTTTTAGCAAATTTTTAAAAAGTATTATCGGAGTCATCTCTTATAAATGACATACTCAAAAATATATAAAATACATAAATTATGAATGCGTTAGAGTAATAAAATATCTATAATATTAAAATTCTTCTATCGAGAACTATAGTTAGTGAATAAATTAATACCCAAACATGAGCCAAAATGAGGAATGTGCACAAATAGTCGAGTATTATTCGAAAATGTCAATACTCATATTATAATAGTTAAACATTAAAAAAATATCAAAACATTCAATAAACTATCCACAAAAAGATAAGGCAAGAGAGAGAAAATCAAATACCGTATTATTAATTTATATTAAATTCACTTTTAAGTATAACAATGATGATATATCGTAAAAGAGCCTCTTCAATAATATTATTATCTTTTTGAATTTTTTTCTTTTGAAATGATAATATTCAAATACTTTGAACTATAATCTTTTTTTTTTAGCGAACTTGTGCATGAATATAAATTTATATCAACTTTAAAGTTGAAAACCTTTTAAATTCTCAAATTATAAACTGAAACTTTTGTTATTCTAATTACACGTGTATTCAAAACTTTAATTGTAAAATTTATTGCCTTTAAAATTTTAAAATTATAAACTAAAAATTTAATTATCATAATAAATTATCATAATTAATGAAATATTGAAATATTTAATTAGAAAGTTTTCACTTACCTATTATCATAATATTTATAAAATTCAATTTACGCCACCTTAGCATATTAAAATTTTAAGAGAATGTTACGTCATATTTCAGGACTCTATTTTTATATATTTATATAGATAGATAGGTCGTTTTGGTATTTTATTTTTAAAACAATAATGTTTTCGCATCGTATGCAAATTAAACAAATATATAAATTCACTTCTATATTTTTTTTTACTAAAAAATTTTTTGATATTTTAAATTTTTATATTGATTTATCTAACACTTCAATTTATAAAATTATATCTAATAAACATTTTGACTTATATGGTTGTTCTTAATAAACACTTTAACTTATATAATCATTCAATTAAAATTTTTAAATAGTAAATTTAGATCATTTGAACCAGGAGCGGACACAAGCCAGGGCCAAAGGGGCTGTGCCCCCCAAAAAAATCAAATTTTAATGTAAAAAATTTATGAAAAAAATATATATTTTAATTTTGCCATTCATAATTAAGTAAAATTATTTTTTGGCCCTCTAATTATTTGGACTAGGTCCGCTACTGATTTGTACGCTTATTAAATAGTTGAAAAATGTAAAAATTATTATTATAAACATTATATTAATCATATATTAAATTAATATTTTATATATAAAAGTAAAAGGATACATGCATAGCTAGCTCAAAATAAATGGTTAGCTGTCATATTACATTTAAATTTGATAAAATAATTAAATAATTACAGGAATAAAAATGGACTCACAATACTATTTTATAGTTAAATAAAAAGAAAGAAATACATTTTTTATTTCAAATATTGATATCAATTAAATATCAATCGACTGATTATTTTCTCAATATTTATTGATTTTAATTGATTTCTTCAACGAATTAAATTTAATTTCAATCAGTGAATTAATTTAAAATTTAAATATTATTTAGAACCCTTTATATAATGTTTCTTCCAGTAAAAGAAATCACAGTGCAATTTACATATTCCAATCACAACACCATCTGGTTACGGTTGCACGATAAGACCTTACAACGTGGCGTACACAATTGCTCCCCTCGCTTTTGTTTTCGGTTTTCCTAATGCCATGGCGGGAACGAAACCTAATCCCGCCACTCCCAATCGCGCTCCTTTTTTTAAACCCAAAATCCCGTCCAATACCAAAAGCATAACAAACATTTCACGCTCCTTCTCTCTCGCTAAACCAAAGCCCTAACCCTAACTCACAGCAGAACGAGAAGATGTTGGAGCTAAGGCTCGTGCAAGGTTCCCTTCTCAAGAAGGTGCTAGATGCGATCAAGGAATTGGTTAAAGATGCCAACTTCGATTGCTCGACGACTGGCTTCTCTCTCCAGGCCATGGATTCCAGCCATGTCGCTTTGGTGTCTCTTCTCCTTAGAGCGGAGGGCTTTGAGCACTATCGCTGTGACCGTAACCTTTCCATGGGTATGAATCTTGATAACATGGCTAAGATGTTAAAGTGCTCCGGAAATGATGATATCATCACCATCAAGGCTGACGACGGCAGCGACTCTGTCACTTTCATGTTTGAAAGTCCCAGTATGTAACAATTCTTCAATTTAAAACACTTTTTTGGTTTATTTATTTATTTATTTTTGTACATTAGTTAGGGTCAAGCGAATTAGGGTTTTAGTCTTTAATCTGTTACTTTATTTAGTTTAGGATTTAAGAAGCATTGATCTGCATAACATAAGCATGGGGTTTCTCTTTTTTAATTTACGGTTTTGTTAATGGGAAACTTGGTTTTGTAATAATTATGTGTTCCAGGCAATTCGAATTTCTCTGTCTTTGATTTTATGAGTTGATTTATGTTCTTGTTGATCTTAGGAGACAGAAGGAACTTCTGTTTGAATATAATTCTTGGTTTAAAGAATTAGATTAAAATTATCAATGAGGGATCGACAGTTGTAATTAAGTTCTCTTGTTATTGCAGATCACAATTCATTTTACAAGAATCTGTTTTCTTATGTAAACAATTGAAATTTTGAGCTATTGCTGTTGGGGATGGATTTTTCACTTTGTTTTGCAGTTGTGGAATATTATGGCTTGATTAATTATAAGATAAGAAGCTGATATTTGTGGTGTTTGTTTTCGCTTTTCTAATGTGATTCCAGCACAAGATAAGATTTCAGATTTTGAGATGAAACTGATGGACATTGACAGTGAACACCTTGGAATCCCAGAGGCAGAATATCATGCCATTATCAGGATGCCATCAGCTGAGTTTGCCAAAATTTGTAGAGATCTTGCAAGCATTGGTGATACTGGTATGCCAAAATCTATTTGCTAATTAAAACCATGGGTTCTCTTCATTTATCTTCTTTGTTCCATTTGTGCATGTGCCTGATAGTAATTGGTAAGAATTTGGGTTGTCATGTGCTTGTAGTTGTGATCTCTGTTTCAAAGGAAGGAGTCAAATTCTCCACAAGAGGCGATATTGGGGCTGCAAATGTTGTTCTCAGGCAGAATACAACAGTAGACAAGGTATTGTCTAACAATCTATTGTCATTTCAACTGCAAATCACTAAGGAATTGGCAAAATAATTACTACAGTTTTGCTTGCTGGTGGACATTTTTAATAGCTGTGTTCTATTTTTCAACTGGAATTTAACAAAGTTTATGAGAATGGTTTTGCTGACATATGGGCTATTTTAAATTTACAGCCTGAAGAGGCAACAATCATAGAGATGAATGAGCCTGTGTCGTTGACATTTGCATTAAGGTACATGAACTCCTTCACCAAGGCAACGCCATTGTCAAATATAGTTACAATCAGCTTGTCTTCAGAACTTCCTGTTGTGGTTGAGTACAAGATTGCTGAGATGGGTTATATCAGATTCTACTTGGCTCCAAAGATTGAAGAGGACGAGGATGAGACTAAACCCGAAGTTTAATACAAATAATTCTTACATTCTTATGTTGTTCAGTACCATCACTCTTCAAGTTTTGAACTTAAGTTTAGGATGTTTGTCATCTCGTTAATGACTATTTGGCGTGTGTAGAGATCTTAAAGGTTTCCTGTAGTATTAAGCTGCTAGGTATTATTAGGTATTATCATCGGATAAACTTTTCCAACTAGTATCATTTGTGGCTAAGTTCTGGTTAATATTCCTTTTCCTTTTGCTGTTTGTTTAGGCTCCAAGGCTGCTGGTGTTTCTGGTTTTAGACCTGTTAGTTTTTGGAAAACAAGCCAAACAAGAAAAAGTAGCCTGCTTTCTCCATCACACCTAGTTCCATCACACTTAGTTATATGAATGTTAATGTCATTGTCAGTAGTTCCAACTGTGACATGCATAATTCACCAGGAAATGCCTATTGCCATAGAATGTGAACCCAAAATTGAAATCAGAATTGCTGTATATAACTTGGGTATGTGATGCATTTCATCTGAGTTAAAATTGAGGAAAGAACCGAAAATACTTGCTTAGATGGGTCGATAACGCCGTTTTGCATGAGTAACTCATGTTCGAGTTCTGCCCTCCCCATCAACCCCTCCCCTTAACCATGGGAAGATAAAATTGAGGAAAGTACTATGTTAAAGTACTATTTCAAATATTAAACAAAAATTATTAAATAAGAGGCCATTAAAAATTGAGTTTGATATGATTTAGTCATAAAGCCCTAAAATAATTGTTTTCTATGGAATTGATGCTGCTCATGGTGTGCTGCAAAGTGAGTTTCATAAGCCAATACAAGTCAAAAAAATGAAAAAAGGGGAATTGAATCTCTATAGAACATTCTCCTCTTCTTTCTATCAATAATAAGTTCACAAAAGTCAAAATTGTATATAAGGTAAAAAAGGGAAAATTTAGCAAGGTTACAGAGATAAATCAATGAAACTATTCTGCTAATCCTCCAAATAAGAAATGATTAACGAACGATCCGTCTGATAAAGCAACAGAAATCTAATCCCTGCCTTTATTTAATGGTTCCCTACTATAACTCTGTAAGAACTTGAAAAATGCCGAGCTATACCATCTGTAAATGAATTTGTAAAAGCGGCTTTGTGCTACTCCAAAATTTCCAGATAAATATGAGAATATAAAGTAGATTGAATCTGTATTAGTAACCTCTATTTATGAATGTGATGCCTCATTTTTGTCTTTTCTTGGCTTCATTATACAGAATGACCCCAATTACGGTTATAGAATATCCAAACATCCCAGTTACTGATACTGGATTTCTGAATATCAAAATTGAGATAACAACTGCAACAGCTCCTTTCGCATTTCCCAGTACCTGAAAAAACCAGCATAAATATTGATCTGTATTAATGAACCAAACCTTTGACTTGAAATCGGCAAAGGTAACAACATTATCAACCAATTATGTCATTTTATAATACAATCCTTACCATTCATTTGAATCTAATGTCTTGAATTGAATGAATTATTATCCATCATGTTAAAAACAAAAAGCACAAATTTGAATCCTATAATCATTAGCTATGATGTATTGACACTTTAATTTTAAGCATGTTTCAGTATCAGACATTTTTTCTGACATGAATACACGACATGCATCCGACACGTGTCTCTGTGTTAAATTTCTTTTTTTCAATGTGTTTGTATTGTATTGTGTTCACAATTCATAGATTATTAGTGACAGTAGCTCACTTGAGTGCTTATACACATTCAATATACATCATAGAAAATGCAAATGCTTGAAACAGAAAGGAATAGATACCTGGAGTGTCAATGCACTGGTGTGTTTAGTGACTAAGAAGTTAGCCAAATTGACAAAATATGCTAAAGCAGAATTGAAGGTGAGATAAACTATAAATCGCATATCATCCCTGGCAAGGGCAATTGTGATCCCAACCACATCTCTTTCCATAAAAATTGCTGCAGGAAGAAGGAAAGCAACAGCTACTGGAGCCATGAACATTAATAGGTTCATGGAATGCAGTTTTTCTCTGTAAAACCATAAAACATATAGCATAAGAAAAATAGTGGCATAAAATTTAAAGTTTTTTAAATTGAAAAATAAGAGATGTTAGTATTTAATATTTACCCTTCATTAGACAGCAAAATGCCTTGAAGCACTGATTTAAGTGCTCTTGCTGCTGTTGCACCAATGCACATTATAAATCCAAAGAGATGAAAACTTGGTTCTCCCTTAATTTGTTCATAAAATAAAAAAAAAGATAGTACAAAATATCAGTCATAAAAAGTGCTAATCAATTTGAAAATCTAAACAAACAGGCTGTTTCTTTTTCTTTGAATACTAATTAAAATCCAGGTGTCCTATGTCAGAACTAACAGCATCCACCAAATTTAAACCATAGAAGGAAGGAAAACCCACCAAATTGTTATTATTCTTTCAAGTATAAGCATTCAAAAGGTTAACAATTTCAAGTTTTTGACAGCTCTAATGTGCATAAAACAAACAACTATGCCTTAATCACAAAATACTTTGAAGAGGCCATATAAATCATTTGTTTTCATTTCATTTTGTTCATAACCAAGTCCTCATTAATGTTGAGATGTACTAGATCTTTTGAGACAACTTCTGTCCATATGGTTTTAGGCCCAACTCTTTCCCATTTAACACCCTCCACCATCAATGTATCGCATTTTTTGAATTGGAGCACATGGGGTCTACATAGAACATGACCCTACCATCTTAGACGTCTTTCTCTCATTTTATCTCCAACTTGTACTATTTGCATCTTTTGTTGTATATTGTCATTTTTAATCGTGTCCGATCCTTTGTGACCACATCCGCTTTTCTCATTTTATCTCCAACTTGTACTATTTGCATCTTTTGTTGTCTATTGTCATTTTTAATCGTGTCCGATCCTTTGTGACCACATCCGCTTTTCTGCAACATTCATCTTGTGTGGGCATCCAAAACCCAACATTCACTCTCCTATAACATCGCAGGTCTTACCGCGATTCTATAGAACTTGCCTTTCACTTTATTAGATGCCTTTCTATCACATAAACACCTATAGCATTCCTCCATTTGGGGCAATGATATAGATTACAACTATTACTAAATTAGTTGTGATTCCAATGGCTCCTATTCCTAATAGTAAATTTGATAGCAATGTGGACTCCGCCTGTTCATTGCAGTAATAGGCTAATTGCTAGTAAGTTAATTCTTCATGTTTTCCTGTCACTGTAAACAAATGCAACCTGGCCATGATGATTTCTATCCTTTGGATACTATTTTATAAATTCTGAAGTACAATTGATAGTTCAAGTCTTCAAGATATATAGCTATTTTTACCATTGAGCACTGCAATTTGAGTTGGCTTTGAGAATAAAGCACCAAAGAAAACTTGGAGCATTCATACAAAAACAGATTAACATTTATAGAATACTGATATAATTAAAAGAAGAAAAAGAAGGAAAAGAAAATTTAAGGTTCTTACCCCACTGGCAATAATAACGCCAGTAACAACAGGAATGAGAGTGACGTAGGTAACCCAACCCTCCCTCTTCAATGTCATCAAATAAGCAAAAACGGCAGTGAAAAATGGTGTCGTAGCTCCAATAGCCTGATTAAACGATACAGGAAGATATTTAAGCGACACATTTCCAGTCACAACCGATAAGCAAAAAACGACCCCGAGTGCAGATATCTTCAAGAACTGCACTCTCGACCTAAGAGTTTGCAAAGGCACAACCTTTAACCATGAAATTGCAATATAACTAAGCATTGAACATGCCATCATATGACATAAGGTAAGAAAAATTGGGTACTTGAACCCATAGCTGCTAAGCAAGTACTTATTTAATAATAGTACTCCAATGTTTGAAGAATACCAAGCTGTTATCAGCCCAATCGTGAAGAAACGACCCATTTGAGAGCTATTTGAATATGAAAGAGGGAGAAGACGGTCTGTGTTGTCGTTTTACATGGATCTTATATGAGAATGGAAGTTGCAGGTTATATCAATTAACAGAGGAGAAGGAAAAGCAGATCTAAAGATAAAGAAAGAGAGGATTTTGATTATTACAAGGGTTTGATGAGATTTGAGGGTGGAAGAACAACTTGAGATTTGAGAGGCAGAGGAAGATTTTGAAGAGGTAAAGGCGGAGAAGAGTTTCTGTTATGTTTGGGCCTTTTAGTTTTTTATTTGTTTTAGTTTATGGTAACGGGCTATTGTGTTGTCGTTTTGTGTTTATATATATATATATATATATATATTTTGGTGAATTGTTTTGTTTCTGTTAGAAACGGTGAATTCTTTTGTTGTTATTATTATATTGTACTTAACGTCATTGTATTACGTTAATGGATTTTAGCTAAAGATTATGAGAATTATCTAACGCTCAGTCTACTTTGTGCTGTATAGATTTATTCATATATGCTAGTCTCGTTATTTTTTCTTTGTTCGCACTTTTATATATAATATAGATATAAATAGATAAAGAGTGAGACTCGATAACACAAATATAAATATAGATAATCGAATCTTCTATTATGTATTTCATTGTATTATTTCGATCTGTTCAATCTTAATAAATAAAAAATTCATTCTTTATTGTTTATTTTTAAGAAGACTGAAAATTTATATCATTATATTATTTCCGTAATGAGAATAAAAAGTATAAATATAAATAATCGAATCTTCTATTTTAATGATTTTGACAAAAAAAAGTTAACCTTTTATTTAAAATTAGCTCTTTTTTAAAATAAAATTTCTACAACTATGCGGTCATGGATTCTACACTCAATACCCGTTGAAAAGTTTTGAACACTAACACTATGTTTGGAAAGGAAGGAAAGAAAATAAAGTATATTTTCCTTGGATTGGGAAGAAAAAATTATAGAAAAAGAAAATTTACAATTTTATCCTTTATAGTCAATATATATTTATTAAAGATAAAACAATAAATTTAGAGTAATTTTGTAATTAGCTAGTAAATACTAAATTTTCCTTTTATTAGCCATTGTTTTTCTTCAATTTAGAGAGATTCAAATTACACGAGACCCAAAAACAATTGGCAATATTTTTCTTCCTTCAAAATTTTCTAACCCATTTCCAAATAAGAAAATCTAGCTTTCTCTCATTATTTTCTTCATAATTTTCCTTCCTTCCAAAAAATCAACCTTCCTAAACATAGTCTAAATATTATTAGACCACCAAAAGAAAGATAGAGAATATATGGAATGACCAACTAAATAAAAAAAAAACAATCAATAATGAATTTACTTGCTTTCTATAAAGCCAATATTTCTAAACTAAAATAGCACACTAAATTATAATCTAATGGCGAATGCATGTGCTATTTGGCAACAGATTTAGAATTAAATCCTCCTTTCTAATATTAAAAAAAAAAAAATAAAGCCCAATATTCTAAACTTAAAATAGGCACACTTAAACTTATAATCTAATGGCGAATGCATGTGCTATTTGGCAACGATTTAGGAATAAAATCCTCCTCTAATATTAAAAAAAAAAAAAAGAAATAAAGTGCAAAGTACACTATATAATATATATATATTATATATATATATATATATATATATTTGCCTCACATATATTGCCCTCACTCACTATATAAAGTGAATATAATACACTTTGCCTATCAGCTGTAGTTATAATAACCTCAAAACCCATTAAGAGCATCTCTAATGCTAATGTGGATTGCTTTTATGTATTACCATGTCAGAAAAATAGAAAAATATTGTCCAATGCTAATGTTATGTTTATTTGATATGTCAAGCTAATGTGTCAAAAAAATAGATAGACTATCTATCATACCTTGTATTTACAGAGAATGTGTTAAACAGTATGACTATTTATTGCTTTATAGTGATTAACTGTTTATTAAATTATGGATCTAAGAAAAAAAAAAAAAAAGGATGCATGAGAATATGAAAGTAGTACAAGAGATAGATTTTAAAATCTAACGTCTATAAATAGACATTTAGTCATATGACTATTCATGCCTACTATTTTATATGACACATCATCAGTCACAATCCACCTTAGCATCGAAGATACTTTAAGAGCAATAAAGTCTGCAAAAGTCAGGAATACAAATTACAATTAAATGTCAACATGTATGATAATTGACCTGAGACCTTAAGAGTCCCAAGACTATCACCCCTATATTTCTCCATGAACCGTAGGTAATGATAGTAGAAATCAGGGTACTAGCAGATTATAGCCTTTGTTCACTGGACGTCGAAGGCAAGACAAAGCTAAAGAGCAAAGTCCAGGTTCATTCTAATTTTCCATAACAGGTTTCTCTATGCTGATGAACTTTTACGCTCTGCAGCTAGGAAACGAATATGAAAGAAAAGTCTAATCAATCTAACTTATAGCATACCATAGGCTTGGCTAAAACAAGCCTAACAGTTGGTACAGTCTAATCAATCTAACTTATATAGCATACCATAGGTTTGGCTAAAAGTTAGTATACAATACAATCTAATTTTCTGTATATGCTATATGATTTATGTGAATTTTGCCATTCACAAACATTTGAGATAAGATGTGAATAACGTTTTCGTTTCTTTCTTATATTCAATGATTTGCATCTAATATTGTTTCTGTTTCTTTTAGTTATTAATGTTTGAATCAACCTGACCAAACATTGTTCATCCTTTTCGTGGGGCGATTGATCACTTGTATATAAAGATGAATGGCCAAATGCATAGATTTGCTCCTAAAATTTACGAGATTTGCCGTGTGGCTCATAACATAACCATACACTTTCACATTTCAATAATAACTATATTTTCGTGGGGCGATTGATCACTTGTATATAAAGATGAATGGCCAAATGCATAGATTTGCTCCTAAAATTTACGAGATTTGCCGTGTGGCTCATAACATAACCATACACTTTCACATTTCAATAATAACTATATCCCTAGTCAAAATAAAATGTAAAAGTGCAGAGTTATGATTGAACTCTTACAAAATTATTTCTTTTTTACGAAGAGCATAATTATTACCGAAATGAGAAATTACAGGGTCATGATAGGTCCCCGTAAATTTGAGAGCACCACAAGGCAAATCGCGTAAACTCCAAGGGCAAATTTATGCATTGTCGTAATGAAGGCACTGCACATACCACATTGGCACATAACAATACCAATTTCTAAGAACCTGATGTAACCACCTACTCGAAATCTCACTTATCATATTCCATTGAAATACACAATTAATCAATTGAAGTTGTTGCACTAGTATAGTAGCTAGAGCCATTTAATCAAAATATTGGAAAGTAATGGACTTTGAGCTATCAATTTAATCGTACTCGGTAACTCTATCAAAGGAATCCGGCAGATTCAATTGCACATTCTTCAACATGCTTCATTTTTCTCAAAAATCAAATAGTAGAATCCGGAAGCACACATCAAAGCCAAAAAGAAGCTTAAGACCTTTACATAAGAACACAAAGTTGCTCAATATACCAGGATATCTACTTTTGATGCCTCAAGGAATGCAATGGAGATCCCAAAAAATGTGTGAACGAAAACAAAGATCAGGTCAGCCTCCAATCTTCACCAGCATAAACTGCTTGCTCACCGAGTTCTTCCTCAATACGAAGCAACTGCAAGAAAGTTCAGACTATTAGATTCAATATCTGCCGTGCTCTCCTCTTTAATAGCGATAAACTTCATGCACTATAAATGGTTCTGGTTCATTTTTGAGATGCATTTAATTGAACATTTACGCTGTATTGGATAAAAGAGTAGGGTAGGAAAAGAAAAGGAATACAAAAACCACAAGTTCATGAGAAAATTTAATTTCCTTCCCTTGTTTGGAAATGGATTCATAAGCTTGGGAAGAAAGGAAGGGAAAACCTTTTTTCAAAAAAAAAAATTCTTAAGTTTGAGAAAATGAGGAAAAATAAGATAATTAAAATAAAACTTACTATTATACCCCTCAATTTATAAAAATAACAAACTTTTATAGATGAGATACATATATAAAATGCAAAAAATATTTATGAAACCATGGAACACTTCATAAATAGGAATATAAACTTGGCATAAATTATCAACCATGCCGATTTTTGAAGATAAAGAAAATTCAAAGTTACAAACCAAAAACCAAAAAAAAGATTTGAGCAAATTGGATAGCTTCAAGGACAGAAATGTCGAGTCATATAAAAACTTATTAAAAGGCTCAATTCCCGAGCTTTTCTTTCCAAATCTGAGATTTTTATGGGGGGGCCCAGCTGGCTATCCTAAGCTTATTCACTCTGTTTTCTCCAGGTCTTCCAAACAAGGGAAGCATGATTCCTCACCCTTCTTTCATTCACCAGCCTTTGCCTCCTTTCACAGACAGGCTGTTATATTTTATTAGCAAATGGGCAATTTGTTGTTACAAATGCCTGTCAAAACTAGTTTGGTGGGGGGAGCTCAAGAATAGTAACAGATGCGATTTCCCTGCTCTAATGTCTTGGGCTAGCACCATATTTCAATAATAATGCATGTACAGGATTAGAAACTTGGACTGAAGTTATTTGCTAATGCCCATTTGTACCACACTACTTCTCTGATACACCACACCCCCCCCCCCCCCGAAACTTGGATGAAGTTATTGCTTAATTGCCCATTTGTGTGTACCCACACTACTTCTCTGATACACCACCACCCCCCCCCCCACCCCCCCCAAAAAAAAAAAAAAAAAAAAAAAAGCGAAAGAAAGAGAAGAAAAGACAAAAGGCCCACTTCGGTAAGGCTAACATGAACTTAGTGAAGAAGAGGAATTATTACCTGCACTTTTGGCATTCTGTTTTTGTCAATTACAATTACACAAGCACCAAACTAAATTCCATACCTTGGAACAAAGCATGATGGTATGAAAATTTAGGCTCCACTTAACATTAGTATCATATTTAAGAATTTATTATACTGAGATGTTAAGCCGTTTTCTGAGTCAATCTTAAAGGTTGATGATAAGTAGAAATCAGTTACCCACATACTAGACCAGTATGGCTGAAACAGTTCAAATAAAATTTATGGTGGATATAATGTACCTAATGGCCTCAATACCAAATCATCGACAAGTTCATTCCAACCAAATACAAAATTGAAAAGTGTGAATGAGAAGTGAAACCGGTTATATTTGCTAGTCGCTCTTCCTCTGCATGGAGCACCTGCTTTGATCTGACCAGTGGCCAGCCCAACAGATAAATCAGAAAAAAAAAAAAAAAAAAAAAAGGAAAGAAAGAGAAGAAAAGACAAAAGCCCACTTCGGAAGGCTAACATGAATGAAGAAGAGGAATATACCTGCACTTTGGCATTCTTGTTTTTGCATTACAATACACAAGCACCAACTAAATTCCTACCTTGGAACAAGCATGATGTATGAAATTTAGGCTCCACTTAACATAGTATCATATTAGAATTATTATATGAGATGTTAAGCCGTTCTGAGATCAATCTTAAAGGTGATGATAAGTAGAAATCAGTTACCCACATACTAGACAGTATGGTGAAACAGTTCAAATAAATTATGGTGGATATAATGTACTAATGGCCTCAATACCAAATATCGACAAGTTCATCCACCAAATACAAAATGAAAAGTGTGAATGAGAAGTGAACCTGGTTATATTTTGCTAGTCGCTCTCCTCTGCATGGAGCACCTGCTTTGATCTGACCAGTGGCCAGCCCAACAGATAAATCAGCTATGAAAGAATCATCTGTTTCCCCAGATCTATGAGAAGCCACTACTCCCCAGTGGGCATCCTTTGCCAGTTTCACTACTTCCAAGGCCTCTGTTACTGTCCCAATCTGGTTTATCTGAATTTAAAACGAAGAAAGTAGATTGTCAGTTGGAGAATTCTGGACCATGCAATTTGCAAATCTGTTTCATGCTATTATCCTCAGCACAAAAGAATTCTTTATTTAGGCATAATCAATTGCTCTTACTTCCATTTTGAAGCTTTCATTATAATTCAGCATAAAATACAGAAATCCCTAATTTTTAACAAATCAAAAGGGATCCAAAATTCAAAGCTAAAATTGAAGCATTTTTTGGTAGGTTTTAGGACCCCATTGACCGCTGCATAATATTTTATTGTCAAAAACAGCTTAATTGAAGGGCTAAGCGGGCCCAATGCTCTAAAGGTTAGCTGCATACCTTGAGGAGAAGAGCATTACAAGTGGACTCATTGATTGCTCTCTCAATACGTTTTGGATTTGACATTAATAAGCGATCCCCTACCACCTGCAAACCATTCTCCCTCAATTCACATTTGAGCATATGCTTATAAACCCTAAAAATTTCTGAGTGCTTGTAACTGATTGATGTTCAGAGCAACCTGACAGAGTCCAAGGCTTGAGAAATACTTGATATGTTCCCAATCCTCCTTGTCAAATGGATCTTCAATTGAAACAATTGGGTACTCTAAGATACCAAAAAGAGATTCATTAAGTTCATTAGAACTCTAAGATACCAAAAAGAGATCCATTAAGTTCATTAGAAAAAAAAGAAAGCCAACAGAAAGATCAAAGAATGCAAAACAGAGTCATATACCGTTACATAGTTCTTTGTACATCTCAATCATATCATCTCCTGACTTGAAATTTTGCCCTGACCTATTAGGAGATTTGAAGTCCAAATCATACTTGGTACCTATACTTATGGGTAGAGGGACATGAGCTATTAGTGAGCATTATTTGTGCACAAAGGAAAATCCAGCTGATAATTGTGCAGAAACAATAGCCAAGCAACAGAGACGGAAAAGGTAGTAGTTTCAGAGCCTTAAACAATTTTTTCATATCAAATTCACATCTGAATAACAATGGTTATTGAACAACCAAAAATGTCAAGCATACATATTAAGAATGACAGCTGAGACATTTTAGTTCCCATTTATGCTACGATTGCTGCAAGATCATTTTAAATGGGGGAACTGATTACCTATACAGAAAGCAGTAGCAGCAACATCAATTGCTATCTTTATTCTATCGCTATACCCTGTTCTGTTGATGGCCTCTTTAACAAGATCCAAGCCTTCTTGAACACTGCGAATGAGACAGCATATAATAAAATTAAAAAAGAAAGAAGAAAAATTGATTATTGAAGAAATAATAATCCTCTTTCAAGGCCAGAAGTGAGAACAGCTGATTGTAACTACTCTGAAGACAAGGTATAGTCACTTTCTGAGATTTATGAATGCAGCATGCTCTTTTCTTAAAAATAATTTTTAAGAAATGTTTTATGCACAAATATGCTTTTACTGAAGACACTTCCTTTTTCCATCATTCTTATGCTAAGAAATTAAATTTTGGGGGGCTAAGTTGAAAATAGGACCATCAAGACTGGTGTAAGAAATGCTTGCCTGGAGATGTTTGGAGCAAAACCACCATCTTCGCCAACATTACATCCAAGTTCACCATACTTTTCTGTAATAACAGCCTGTCCTATTTAATAACAGAAATAACAATCAATGGATGAGTGGAAATGAAAGAAAAATAAAATCAATATTCTCATTAACAGACAAGCTCATCGAGTACCTCACAGAATAATCATATTTATCCACTATTAAGACAATGAAGGAAAGAATATCAGCATCAAGCTTACTATTAGGTTGACTATTTAAACAAAGTAACACCATGTATAAGGAAAAATTGTAGGTCAAAGTCATCTAACAATTGTAATCCCTGAAGGAACCTTCCTATTTATTTCTAAGATAATAACAAGTTTTCATTAATGTTCACCAAATATTCACATTTATACAGAATCCATGCAAGTGGAACAGAAGCATTAAGCCAAAAACACCCTTGCAATTGCAAAGGTCATAGGTGATTCTCTTGCTTATTAGAGAACATCCAGATGGTATGTCTCAAAACCAGCCATCAATATTGCCTTGATTGTTAATCGCTAATGTGACCACTTTTAAAGTCAAGGTTTAGTGATTTGGGGATGAAAGAAGCAAAACGGGAAAAAAAAAATCTCTATAAACATAAAATGACAGACATAAAACCAGACCATTGATATAAATAGAACCTGAAACAAAGCCAGGTAAAAGACCATAAGCTATTGACAACTAAAATTCCTAAGGCAATTAGTATCAAGTAAATAAATCACCTTTAAGTGATGATATGTCTCCGAGCCCATTTGCAGTGCCTCAGCAAACCTATTTGCACCAACTGGGAGAATCGTAATTTCCTGATAATATTTTAAATGAATTTTTTTAACTAAGTTGAAAATAAAAGTATGATAAAGTTTCAGATGCTAAGAATCTAAATTGCTATAGCGACAACAAGAATAACAGCAATTTTTATGAAGGGGCATGTTGATGTTATAATAGTGAAATATATAGTAGAATTCACATTACACTTGACCCTTTTTTTTTTTTAAGCATCTAGGAAAAAATGAGTGAATCAAATCTGTGCCAATGATCTAAGTGCTGGAATTATTATTTTATCGATATATATATATATATATATATGACAAAAGCATGTCTTCTGCATTATCCCCATGCATTATATGAGAGGCTAGATTATGAAAGAGCTTCAAGTTTCTGCCATACCTAGTCTGCTCAATACAAAGACAAATTATTTTTAGGACAGATTTGACAAAACAAGTTACAGGAATATTCCTAAACTTACCATGTGATAGTGATGAGAAAACACATATTCATAATGAACTATAAGAAAAAACTATTAGACACTACTAGATTAAATTCATGTAGGCATATAAATGGATTCTTAAAGCAATTCTCTGGAGCATACATATGAAAACGGATTCTTATGACTATAAACTAATTTATCCCTTTCCAAAATGCAGAAAGAAACAAAAAAGTTAATTACAAACTCAGTAAAATCTGTTATTCCAACGTCCATGTCTAATCAATCCTAATTGTGGCAACTCCCAAATCTAAAAAGGCAATTTCCAAACAAGATTTCCATTTAGAGCCATTAATAATAACTTGCTGTGGAGGTGGCATGCGCTTACTGAGAATTGTTTAAACAACAACAAATGGTTGAGTGCATGTATTTGCGGATTAACTTAGAATGGAGCATGCCTGAATTGCTAGATTATTCCCAGCATGTTTACCACCACTTATGACGGTGAAGGAAGGGACAGGAAGAGTCAGGCTGGTTTTGCCGGAAAGATCAGCAATGTGTTTGTAAAGTGGAACCTGATATTTACACAAAAAGTTCAAATTAAGCGCAGATATTTCTACTGTCTAAATTGCATCAAACAATTGAGTGTCCAAGATGAGAAAGAATTAATTCTTGCCTCCTTTTCAGCAGCTCCAGCTTTGCACGCAGCAATTGATACAGCTAAAATAGCATTTGCTCCAAGATCACCCTGAGATTGACTTCACGTAAGAAATGGAATGCCTCAAATGATATAAGCAATGCAGGAAGTGGAGTACAGTCACTTTAGCAATGCAATTGTAAAACACAAAACTAAGGTAGCATCTTCAACGATAACAATGTCAAATTGCCAATACACAGGCCATCAGAAAATCTATATGCAGTTCTGGAGAGTAGAATATCTCAGAAAGTTGCACAAGATTAAGCAATTATGAAACAAGCATACAACAAAACCACTAATAAGAATACCAAAATAGGTATGCTGATAGAATATTGCCCATTATCAATTTGCACAAGGCATAGAGTGATTTCAGATTCTATTATGCAGATACCTACCTCAAAAGCTAGCCTAAATGGAACAAAAAGATGATTATAGATTATACCAGAATGATTAGATTGAGATGATTAACAGAAGTATGAATCACAAGGATTGATCCTTTATTGAACTATCATCCCATGCATCAATGACCTCAAGGTTGTTTGGATACTAGAACTCTCATGCTTTGCTAATGAGGAATAACCTTCAAATAAAATATTCATCAAAACAAAATTAAACAAGTATCTAGTCAACCTCGAATCACAGTATTTTGGGCTTGCACACCTCTCCTGTCTACTAAAAGCTTAAAGTGCAATCTTCACAGATAAACATGACAAACCAAAACACACACAGGGCTTGAAGTTTTATTGATAAATTAATTGCAGCAAAAATGGGGAGAACAATTACCTTCTTTTCAGTTTTATCTAAGTCAATCATTGCCTGATCAATCTGAGATTGAAGTGTTGGATCCATCCCAACTAATGCTTCAGAGATTTTCTCATTAATATTCTTAACAGCTCTTGTCACACCATTCCCAAGATATGTTCCCTTGTCCCCATCACGCAGTTCAACAGCTTCATACCTATAACTCATAATAGCAGTAATTTACCAAAAATCCATAACGATTTCTCCTATTGTATGTTCCATTATCTAATTTCACTGCCACAAACTATTGAAACATGCAAAAAGAAATCAATTACTACATTTCCCTATTCCTAAACTAAATGATCTAATTGTGAGATAAAAAATGTTAGATTCTAGAAATTAAAAACCTCGAATTCTAAAGTTGAACTAAAAGAGAAGAAATTACACTTACATGCCAGTAACATCCCCGCTAGGAGCAGAAGCACGAAACATGCCTTTGTTAGTATACAAGTCAACTTCAACAGTTGGAATCCCTCTGCTATCAAGGATCTGTCTAGCTCGTATCTTCGTTATAACAGAAGGAACCGCTTTTCTCATGTGATTAGACTGAAAGATTAATTGAGGCATCAGAGTAAGTTCTCTGTTTGGTTCCCGAGGAAAAAAAAAGACGCATAAAACAAAACGATAGAGAAAGAGAGAAAGAAAAATACGATGAAGAGAACGGGATCGGGAGTTTTGGCCCTAACGGCGGCATTGACGGCCTCCTCGATTTTCCGAGAAAGCATGTGCCTGTCTAGATACTCCTGCACTGACATTTCTCTATTCTTCTTATTCTTCTATTTCGGTTCTTTCTTCGGTGATCGAATTAGTACGGGGTACAAAGAGAAAAAGGAAGAGATTTGACGGGAAAATGTTGGTGAAAGACAAATCTGAAACGATTTCTTTGAGAAAATTTTTGTTCTACTGAGGCAGTCTTGAAATTTTGAGCTCGGAGTTTAGGCGAGACCAAAGCCTGTAATTAATTTTGGTTCTGCGGCATCAAACGGCGTCGTTTAGGTTCAAGTCCTGCTACCAAAGCATATATATGCAGATTCTTTTTCTTTTTTCAGCATATGCAACCATGCATGACTCTTATGGCAAATGAAATTCTTTTTAACGCTAACAATATCAGATTTTATGATAATTCCAAAATTTAAACCTCTAACCTTGTAAATTTTTATGCGCTCAGTCAAGTAACTTTCAATGGTGATGATTCCAGATTTTAAACCTCCGATCTTATAAATTTTTATTATTTAGTTATATTAGTAAAGTATGATATTCTAAGAATTTCTTTCAATTAAAATCAAGTAATGATGCTTACTTGTGAAGTTTTAATAATGTACAAATTGAAGATCAAATTAAATTGGTAAACTTGTTGCCACTATAGTTATTTAGATGAGCTGCCGTAGTTGCAAAACATATGCATAATCAAAGTTGATGCCTTCTGCAAGTATTGAAGTTTTGCTATGAGCAGAACAATGGTTTCCCAAGTCCAAGGTTAGAATTTGGAGATCATTGAAAACAGGTGCTTTACCATGCTAACCACTAATTACCTGATATCATATGGAAAAATTAATATTTTAACCTTGTATTTTGTCAAAATACATTACTCTGTACTCTCATTTTTGAAATACATAATTTTGTCCCCTATTTTTTGCCTTATCCTTCTGCCAATATTTTTATACTTTCAAATGCATGAACATATTAGTTAAGTTTAACAAAATGTAAAGACAAAATATATAAGGATATCAGTTTATATTTATAAAATACGAAGACAAAATACTAATTTTTTAGTAGAGAAAATACAAGAAATTAACATAAACAGTGTAATGGAAGCAAAGAATAAGGAAAAAACTATGTATTTCTAAAATTAGGACAAGGTTATATATTATGGTAAAATACAAGGATAAAATCGTAAAATTTTCCCTATTACATAATCTGCAGTTCAAAACAAATACAAGACAGAGACAGTGTGATTACAGTATCAGAATAAGTACAATCATACTACAACAAAAGCACTAGATGAGCCAGTAAAATGGCGGATCGAACCCAGAAGGCTCTTTGCAGCACCAAAATGTCTTATTCTGTAGACACCAGGAGTAGCAGACTGAGGGATCCTCCACTCCATTGTTGCCTGACTGCGTGCACTTAGTCTTGAAGGTCTCGACCATTTAAACCGGAGGCAGAAATCATCATCGTCATAAGCAGGTACCCATGTATCCTTTCCCTCAAGGATCTCCACAAGGGCAAATGTACCTTCAGTCATGAGGTCATTCCTGGGGCATGCTGACCAGAAAACAACCGTCACCGTGTCACCTCTCTTGAAGGTAGAATTCTTTGGAACATCAGAGCTGCAATCACCAAAATTTACACCAGGAGGGGTTGCATCCAGCACAACTGGTGTAAGTAAGCTTAGTTGCCTATTTAGGAGATCAGGGGGTTGTGGACCAGGCTGCAAAGTTTGACCACTGATAAGGCTGCTTGCGAGCTTCGTGAACTCCTGGATATATGCACTAAGTGTGTGTGGACCAAATAGAGTGGATGCACCCTGAGAAACGTCTCATGTTTATGAGAATAAGAACTTAATAGAGCTAAAAGTAGAAGCAATAAAACAAAAGTCATCACTGCCGAGTTAAGGCTCACAATTATCCCCATCATAATCCATTGCAAAGCTGCATGGAGCAGCATGCGTTCACACCATGCAGTGCCAAATTTTAAGGTTGGCATTCGACAGTCTCCAAAAACTTCCATTACAGAACCAGCAGGAAAGCTAGTTTGGTTATGAGACATTTTCCTATGCGAGTAACCTAACCAGTCATAAAATTTTAAATGCCGAGTCGTTTTTGTGAGTTCATGCAGTTTGGTGTACCATACCTGAAGTATAAAATCAAATTTACCCAATTTTCTCATTTACTATGAACTTTCATATGTTTCTGCATTATTTAAAATATTTATTTACCAAACTAGCTTGGGGTTATGGCTTGGTTAAGTAATTTAGTATCCAAAGCATTTACTTACTTCATATCTCTGCACTTCATACTCCTCGAATGTGGTAACATACTGTGAGTATGTATTAGTCAATCCAGCTATAACAACATGAATGTTGTTATTAAATTCTTTGTTTCCACTTGTGAGCACTGCCTTCACAGCATCTCGAAGACGCCTCCCAGCCATAGTAGAAAATTCTGTTCAAAGATATGTACAATTCATGAACTAAGAGAAACATATTGACTGAGCAAACAAAATCTATCAACTTGAAAGCAATTTCATCAGAACATTAATATCCACCAGTTAATTCCCTCCAAGTCAAAACAGATTAAACAGAACATTATCTTTTAATTTTAGTTTAAATGTTATTGCAAATATCGGTTCATTGGTTGGACTGCTGATAGAGTTGAGAGCCTAAACCTGGTGTGTTCAGCCCCAGTTTGCCTGGCTAGGGCATGTCTGGATTCAGCATGAAAGCTGGAGAATCCTGATATAATATTCAACTGACATATATTCTACAATATCTAATGCTTGTGCTGTCAATAGATAATTATGCAGTCAAATTTGGTTTCCAACAAAAATGTCTTGTATTCAGCCCATCATAAACGGATATATTCCAGTTAAATGGACAAGTTATGTTTCACCAGTGAGAAGGACATTTCTTCATGGCACAAAAGGGAATGTGCTCAGGTTGACCTCTTGTGCATCCCAGTCTGTCAAAGACTAAACTCCTCTAGTTAGTGAAAACAAGTGATTTTGTTTTCCAATCTATGATTATCAAACATTAATAGTTTCTGATCGCATGCGAATTGAGAGGTTAGTTTCTTTACAACGATGAAACTATTAATCTACTAATGATGGCATTAAACCTGCTGGCAAAGAGAGAATAAGGAAGCTCATACCTCCTGGAACACTAAGAATGACTAGCTGGCCCAACCTGAGGATCTGGATTGGAAGTATTGAGGGCTGCATAATTCATGACCAAACAAATTGCTCTTAGAAAGTCTGAAAGTTTCTATAGGTTAACATCAAAAAGACTGAATGTTGGTAGCTAAAACCACAATACCAGTTACCAAAAGAGTATCACTAGTAGAAAGCTAGTTATCTTGAGTTTATAATGGCCAAAATTTGGGAGAGGATACAATGTGATTGTGTTTCGAAAATTGTATTACTGACACACAAAACTTGTATGAGCAAGAAACTTACTGCCCAATCATATGGTTCCTTCATTTCACCGGTATCAAGTAAGATGGGCTTTGGATGCTGACAATCAACCTGTTCCTTGCCTGGTGTTTTCAAGAAGTTACGAACCAACCTCCAGAAGGCATTTCCCTGATAAATAATAGCATACCAAAGTCAATCATGCAAAACTTTAGACACTGATACATGAGATAAAGAGAATAGGAAAATTTGATAAACATTAAGACAACAGCAGCCAATTACCTTGTCATCTCCTTGCTTAAAATCAAAAGCACCAGGCCCATCTGTTGTTCCTGCAGCAAACGCAAACCCCATTGCAGCAGGACAAGTTTTCACTGCCTCAGAAACTCCCCCTGGTTTAGGAAGTGTCACTTCAAGCTGGGAGAAGTCTAGGTAAGTGTGACGAAAGTCAACCTTCCCATTCAGTTCCTCAGATGCTTTGTTAAAAAGTTCCACAGCTTTTCTGAATTGCCTCTCCCCAATAATACGTGTACTTTCAAACTCATCAGGATAACTGTCAGGTTAAGGTACAATTTAGTATTGTAACAGGTTAAAGCAACTTGTCCATCAAAAGCACCAGAAAGCAGATGATTAAATACCCTGGTCCTCGGCCATAGCATAACTCATTCTTCCCACCACAGGTACTGTGATTGAAGTCACAAGGTAGCCCAGTGTCTATACAAAAGGCTCCAAGCACATTGGGGCTAACATCACCACAGTTGGATTGACAAAATGCAGATACAAATCCAGGTTTTTCAGCCTGCCTAAGAATACTTCTGACACGTCTTGCAACACTCAGAATTTTGGTTGCTGGCCTGCCAGGAGGAGACTGGAAGGATGCAGCAAGCTCTAGGAGCTCATGGTCTACAAAGGGACATATGTCAACAAGTAAATGCAAGGACGTACTTCTCTCTCTCAAAACATATCTCAATGAGTGATAGAGTTTAGAGTTGGAGCTATAGCAAATAATTCAAATCCTTCAAATTCGCTCCTACAGTTGTTAAACTAGAAAGTATGCAGACATGATTACAGGACATGAATTGCAATACCTTAATCAAGATGGAAACATAGTGACTTACGATTATTACGTAGATGTGGAATTATATTTGAGACTCTTCTAGGGAGTCCATCGGCTATAGTTTCGTCAGAATATGGGCTTCCAACACTCTTCTTGTCAAACCAGTCCTCCATAAATCGTGCAGCAGCACCCTTGTTATCTCCACTAATCAAAGAGTTTGTACGACTCATGGAAGTTCCATGAGTAGCAAACCAATTGAAGCTACCCACTGGACCCCACTCATCATCAACAAACTTTAAAAGAGTCATTTCTTTGTCAACATCATATTTGTATTTGTTACGCTCCTCTGTAGGATTATTAAGATATGCACTTGGACTGCGATTTACACCAGCATCTAAAAGCTCTCCTGTCAATATTCAGGAAAAACCAAAACCTTTATGAGATTATTTACAACCATAATCTGATCCCTACCAGACCAAATCTAAAAAGAAAAAAAGTTGCCACATTATTACATGAAAGCTCTGGCTACTGTTCAACAAAGAAGAATAAGGAAAGCAAAACACAAGAAAGAGGAAGCAAGGAATTACAACCTTCTGCATAGGAACATATATTCAAGGTGCAAAGGGAACATGGTACAATGACAAAGGCAACAATAGGAGAAGATCAACAATTGTTTCTGTAATTAGAGGAAAATATTATTGTTCATATATTTCATCAATAGGGAGACAAATATATATACAAACTAATTAGGATCTAACTACTCCATATACAACTAGTATTCTAACGTTCCTTAACAGTTTCAAATCCAGTGTTGAGAAAATAGCTTTGAATATTTAGAGAATTGAGTCAACCTTAGTTGAAGGTTATCAATTTTCTAGAAGTGAAAAAAAAATTAAAGCCTTTTTTTATCTTTCCATATAACTGGCCTACGGTTTATACCTTATGCAACAGTTGGCAGATCAGTCCAATCTCAGAACAGAAAGGGACATGGATGCATAATATGATGTATGTGCAGTATATTGTGTATCACTGGCATGACATCATTTGAAAGAAAAAGCTCTTAAAGCTCAACAAACTAGATCTTTGATTTCAAAAAGAAAAATGCATTAAAATCAATGAGTTCATACACTTGAAAAATTGATGCAAATTCCAGAAAACTAATTCACACACCACGAGAGCACTTCTTTTCTGCCCTTTTATTATGAACATTCTTTTCATCCATTGGGAAAAAAAATGCAATCATAAATCAGAAAATGGTAATATTTGACCTTTTTTACACACAACAGAATAGTACAGCAGTAGAAAAAGCTTTCTTGCTTACCCTTATTCACAAAAATTGATCCGGGACGAAGATTCTCATGAGCTTGTATTATGCTCTTCTCAATGCCATCTACAAGAACATCAAATGATTGACGCACAAATCCAAGAGATGTTACAATATACACAACGTACTGCAGATATCCCCCTGGACCAGCATGGGTGTGAATACCACTAATAGCAACATTCTTTTCAGTATAGAGATCCCCATACCTGCCATATTATTCACATAACGTCACTTTCCAAGAATGGGTTTACAAAGCAGATAACAGAACACACTTCCCTATTAAATCAATCTTCCATATAAAAAATGCTGTGAAATTTTGCTTCAAAATGAAAGTCCTTTACTCTTTCAAACAAACTTTATTCTTGTATACACTGAAAGATTACAACACAAGTTATTCCACAATATGCGTAAATGAGAATTACCTTGCCTTCAACCTCTCCATTACTTTAATAACCACAAGCTGTGAGGCCATACAAGCATCCAGATTCACAAATACTACCCGGTTCCCCTGTGGCTCCGCCACGATAAAAGATCGAGCCCGCAACCTAAAGTGAACTCCAGAAGCAATCTGCTCTATGTTAGCATATCCCATCATATTAACATCAGCAGCAGGTCCTGTAATATCATAGCTTCCAAGTCCAACCAAATACTTGGAATCAGAAAATACTACTCCACTATTCACCAGCAACAGGACTAGAGAGACCCACAACCAACAAACAACATTAAATGGCGAAAACAACTCCATCTCCACTCCACAAACAAGAAACAACAGATAACTGCTCAATCCATTCTTCTCATTTCCCTGAAACAAAAACAGACAACTACCCGATTAAATAAAACTATTATCCATAACAAAACAAATCACACACAATAACTAGCTCAATTCTCATTTCACCATATCCTAACTCAATCGAACTGGATGTATAATAAATAACCATATTCTAACTCAGGGAAGCTTAATGAATCATAAATTTGAATTGGGTATACATGAACATAGAAAATGAGATTGAGAAGCAAGAAAAATTCGCACCTGAGAGACCAAATGGAATCAATGTATTTTTCTTCTCAACTTTATGAATAGAAACAGAATTTTGAAAGGCTGTGTGTCTGATGAAATCAAAACAGAACTGATGATTATAAAGAGAGAGAGAGAGAGATAAAAATGGTTATTGCAAGAGAAAGAGTGACAGAGAGGCTACCTACGGTTCTTAAAAGAGTCAAAGAGAAAAAATGTGAATTTAGTTGGGTTGCTGAGAAAGGAAGACGGCTACGACTTTTTGGGTTTAATTTAATTTAAAATATTATTTACATGTCGTTTCATTGATCCCGAAATTATGTTTTAATGAGTATTAATTATAGAAAATTATCCTAAATTATTTCCAACCAAGGCAAAAGCTGTAGTATTGTATTGTGTTTTATGTAGTACTAATGAAAAACATAATCATGCGATAAACATGTTCACGTTTTCCTTTCTAACGTACGTTTTCCTTTCTAACGTGAGCTGTCTTGAATTTACAATTTAGAATAAAAAAATAAAAATTCGAATTTATAATTCATATGCTATTTGCTATATTTTTAAAAATTATAATTCACAAGCAATCACAAACTGATATTAGAGGATTTTTTTGAAGCACATTATTTTTTTTTTTTATGAATAAAGGATTAGATTAAAAGGAAATACAATAATTAAATCCACATTTTCAAGAATCATTTAATTTACTTTTGCATAATAAGAATATAAATGTGAAATCAATCTAGCTAATCCTATGCAAATTTAGTAATTTATCATTTTTGTATATAGCATGTACGCTAATGTTGAATGTCACACTATTTTAAGTATTTTATTAATTAATATAATTCAAATAATTTATATACATTAAATACCATGTGATTAAATAATTAATTTCATCAAGATATACTTTGTCTTATTAAGATCAAAGTCAAAATTTACCATCGTACTTGTTCACATTCAACACTGCATGCAAGTGATCAAAATTATATTCAAATAATTTACCAGAAAAAAAGAAAATCCAAAGTATATTTTAGTAATCTTATTCTGCATTTTTTCTTCAACATAAACACTCAATTTGAGCTGTATAAAATGAAGTTTGTCCATTGTTTTGTCTTTGTTTCTTTCAGACAACAGAAGCTTGGCTTAATTCCAAGAATGTACAAGGTAGAAGAAACGTCAAGGAAATTGTTGTGGGCCAATGTGCAAAAACGCGTTGATCACAGAAAAAGAGAAGATAACAAGTTGTAATTTAATCTGTTCCAAGATCGCAGAAAGAATTTTACTGTGAACTTTTTATGACAAGCAGTATCAGACAATGACGATCATATCCACCATTTCCAAATCGTCAAGGCGACGATGCGTTGAGTGTTGATATTTGACAACAAGGCCTTTCACTTTCAACCTTAAATTTGTATATATCTATGTAGTTGAATTAATACCAGGTCTTTTCAAACTAAAACAGAACTGAGTTCTAATACTGTTTACTTTAAATCTTTGAAAAAGAACAGGGAGAAGGAAACACGAGAGGCTTGTCGTTGTTATAGACTCTGAAGTTTATGAGTTTTGAGGGATCTTTGAGCTTATTTTAATTGTACGAATTAGTCGTTTAAAGAACTGAAATTTAACCAGCATATAAGTAATTCAAGCAAACTAACATTGTCGTTTAAAGAACTGAGGCGTAAAATGAATAAACTTATATATAAACAACAAAAAGCAAAGTTTTACTAAAATATATAGATCAAAGTAGGCAAACTCATCACCAATACAATACTGAAACCCTCCATAACATAGTCGATTACAAAAAAACCATAAGTAAAAACACAAATTCTTACTTTACGACTAACAAATCCTGTAATACAGTAAACATGCCATTAGCATTCTTCTTTTATCTTTTTCTGGAGAAAGGTCTCAGTTAGAGCAGATTCAGACATAAAAGAAGCTACCAGTAGTCGAGAAGCCTGCAATACCAAACAAGTTCCCAGATCACAGAAAGAAAAATACTAGTATATAGTAATTATAGGTAACTAAAGTTGCAACCTTGCTGTTAAAAATAGGGCAGGGGTGTCACTCACCTCCTCATTCCCGACATGGACATTCAGCTCTTCAATGTCATTGAAAGGTATATTCAATTTGTTTAAAACAGACAGACCCGAAATTGGGGATATGGGTGTTACAATCAGATCATCTGTTACTGTGAACATAGCAGGTCCCATCACAAATGCTCCGCCAGTTTTACCGCTCTTGTATGTTGATTTTGGATCCTTTACTCTTAAGGCAATGCTTGTATTGCTAGTAGGTTTATCCAAATAAATCACAACAGACCACCCACTATTCATTTTGAAGTAGCAGAGCGGTTGGGCAACTTCCTTCACCCCTAGAAGCTGGTTCTCATAGCCACAATCAGGAGCAATCTTGGGACTAAGTAAAATCTCTTTATGGCCATTTGTTTTGAAGTATTTCTCACTATCAAGATCCATAATACTTTTATATAAATAGTTCGTTTTCAAACAGACTGGGAAATTTAACCAGCGCGATTATAAGTAATTCAAGCCCAAACTAGAGAAGCTTATGCATGTGCCGTTAAGTATATACACGGATCTAGAAACTGAGGCGTAAAACTGACAAATTCAAAAGCACAGTATAAATACATAATCAAGAACACAATCAAAAATAGATGGTCTCCAAAGTTTTATACCCGCTTTCTGTTTAAATAAAGACTTATAGATCCAACATGGGTAAAGGTTACACCCAACTCATCACCAATGACAAATCACACTGAAACGCGAATTCCTCTCCATCCAACTATAAGTCCGATTCAAAAACAACCAATATAAGTAAAATGAAAACTACGAAAACTATTCTCCTTAAAACGGTTTGAAACCGCGACCTTAACTATATAATTCCCTGAATAATTAGGCAGTAAAACATGCCATTAGCATTCTGGACCTTTTTTTCTTTTTCCTCGGAAGATTAAGGTCTCAGTTTGAAGCGAGGATATCGAACATAAAGAAAGCTACCAGTAGTTCCTGAGAGAATCCTGCCAAATACCAACAAGTTCCACACGCGGGAACTAGAATCAAATAGAAAAAAAACGAACACAAATACGCTAGTTCCATATTTTCACCATATACGTAACTCACTATATATTGTTGGTGTGTACCGGCTAAGAAGTTGCAAAAATCATTGTCGACCCTGTTAAAAATTAGTACTGGCCAGCAGAGATGGTGTTCCACTTCAGCACCACTCCTCATTCCGAAAATGGACATTCAGCTCTTCAAAAATGTCATTGAATAATTTTCCATTCTTTGTTTTAAAACAGACAGACCCGAAAATTGGGGAATATGGGTGTTTGACAATCAGATGATCTGTTATTGTGAAGAATTTGAAAGAACAAGTTCCCAGTCCACAAAATATGCTTCCGTCTTGTCAACAGGGACGCAGGAAGATACAAGTTAATGATGACATCCTCAATGGACGCAGTATGTTTGTATGGAATTCACCGAGAGATTATACTACCAAGTCCTTAGTATTAATTGGCTGTACGATTGATAATTCTGACGATTCCACATTCTTTTCAGTTCTAATCTCCTTAGTGAGAAAGTACGATGCTCGATGAGAATTGCGACGTAAGGGGAAAAATGGGTACCTTTATCCATATCACACAGACCAGCCCATATCATCTTTGAAGTAAAGCGAGCGTTGGGCAACCTTTCCTCCTTATGCACCTTTTCATATCATTTATTCCTTTCCCATTTGTCATAGCGCTGGTTTTACCCACTCTATTTTTAATATTCTATTCTTAGCATAAATCCATATATTATCTGAATAAGTTTTCATAGCATAACAATATCTCATTGGGATAAGTAATCTCTTTATGGCCATTTGTTTTGAAAGTAATTTCTCCGCTAATCAGATCCATAAAAATAACTCTTCTGTAGAGAATTAACTAAAGACAATAACAATTGTAAATTGTTGGGATCTGTTTTCTCATGATTTACAATTTATGAAGATGAACTCTGCCAAGTTCGATCCATAATACTTTTATATAAATAGTCTATGCACCCTTTTGAATGAGCACCATTCATTTCTTTCATTATAAACCCAAGAGGAATGGTAAGGAAACTAAAGAGTAAATCAACAAAATCATCACCAACTTCTGCATAGCACACCCTTTTCTTGGATTTGCTGAGAAATAGCCTTGCACACATCTTCACATTTTCTTTTCGTGCATTTTCCCTAATAAGTTGGTGCTTAATTATTGAACTCGCTTGAAAAGTTTTCTTGCTAAAATCAGGTAATTCTTTAGGCCTCAAGAAAGTTTCTGTTAAAGGAAAGTTTGATACAAATAAGCTTTTCAGCAAATTCAAAACCTGAAAGAAAAAAACAAAGCCATGAATTGTTGTCAAACTAGTCAATCTTTAACAAATTAAATCATCAGTTCTATTAGTTACCTCATCGAATCCAATACTAAAGACTCTCTCCTCGGTGGAACTCATATCCATGATTCCAAGCTTGGAAATCAAAGAAAAGCTTGCAGCAGTTGACGAAGGTATCACCTGTAACTCGTCGCTTATTAAAAACCGAGTAAATTCTTTAGCAAAAGCTGTTCTATCTATTGAATCCTTTGATCCAATAGTATTTACTTCGATTGAAGAGTTCATGGCCCTTCCGCAATCACAATAGCTACCTGCGTACTGACTCAGTAACTTACACTTAGAGCTTATGCAACTGAAGTCCCCACAGTAAAAATAGGTTGCAGACTCCCTATCAATTTTCAGTTTCAAGTCCTTATACTGAGTTGCAGACCCATTTTTAGGGCGTAGCAGCATTGTCTTACATGCTTCAGTTCTGAAACGTTGGGCATCAAGTTTTTCAACACTTGCATACAAGTTGTTCATACAACCTATCGCTGTGATTGGTGGCCGATTATTTGTGAGCCTGACGATGGTTCCAATAGGCATTGTCAATGTGAGCCTGACGATGGTTCCAATAGGCATCGTCAAAAAACTAAAGAGAACATCAACGAAATCCCCATCAGATTCTGCAAATATCACTCTGTTGTTCGCCTTGTCAACTAATGCCTTTAACTTTATAGACATTTTTTTGGTTCAGATATTATTAATCCACACAGTTTGGAATCTGCAATTAAAAAAACCACTATCATCAACAGATAAATCTCCTGCTAAAGCAAGTTTTTTCTTTTTGGAAGGAACATATATAGGTTTTTGGAAGGAACATATATAGGTTTTAGAAAAGTTGCCCTAGATAACAAGTGCTCAAAATGCTAACTGGCAGCTCCTGATTAATTAATCGTAAAAGAAGTTCTTTTTAAAAAAAAACAAAAGAAATACGTATATGATTCGTGGAGAAAACTCACAGAAATAAAGTTCATCCCAATCCATAATATTAGAAAACAATGGCAAACAGAAAGACTAACAGAAAATACAACAAAAAAAAAAATCATTGGTTGGCCTTTTTGATCATTATTTAATGGTGTATAAGCTAAATAAGTTGAGATGTTATACCTCAAATTGGTATTCTTGAGTGTCAGAAATCCACTTACTGCAAGTTTTAAGCAGATACGTTCCAACAAGAGTAAAGAACTGTGTATATATAAACTTTTTATTGCCTACATTCAGAAGAAAGTGCAGATATATATAAAAGTGCAGAATATATATATATATATATATATATATATATATGTATGCCTGACTCGACTCTTGGAATCCTCTCATGTTGTATCCCAGCCGTTGATTTGAGAGAATCAACGGTATGAAGTCATCTTTGGAAATAGCACAATCGATGATATGAAAAGATTACGAGAGAGAATTGAAAATACTATCAAGCCATAAAAAATTTAGTTTGATACTATCAAGCCACGAATTATTAATCTTAAATTTAGTTTAAGAGGTAATTAATTTCCTAATACTAAGCCAATAGAATGGTAAGTATAGTAACCTTTTAATTATGCCTTGCAAATGAATTCATTGGAAGAATTCAATGGAAGATGTGATTTGCTGACAGAGATGCTTCTTCTCATTGGGTTAATGGGTTTGCTGCAAATTTGGGTGTGTGCTCTCTCTATCCCAACGGCGGAGCTGTGGGTTGTTCATGAAGAGTTGAACTTGGCTAAAAGATATGGTCTTGCTTCTCTTTTTCTGGAATGCAAAATTGAGTTTGTTGTGAGATTGATCAGAGGCGAAGTTTCTGTTCCTGTAAGTTTTCAACCGCTAGTGATTTCTATCAAATCAAGTATATTGATCAGAGGCGAAGTTTCTGTTCCTGTAAGTTTTCAACCGCTAGTGATTTCTATCAAGTATCTTCTCGAGGAGTTTGCTTTTGGTCTGGTTTCTCAAATTTATAGAGAAACGAATATGTGCGCATATTGGCTTGCTTGCTATGCGAGTAATCTTCCAATGGGTGTTAACGATCTTCTTGCTTGTCCCTCCTTGCTTCCTCGCGAAGTTATGGGAGTAGTCTACCATAGGCTTTATATCAAAGCTTTTGCCTTTTTTTTTCTACCAAAAAAAAAATATATATATTGCAAACATGTTATAACTCTCGTATGTCTTTTTTTTCTAACCACCCGTATTTGGATTCCTTTATTAGGAACCGAATCACCTAATTCGTAAGAGTGAGCATTCCATTAAGGTAACTCAATTTGGAACCAAGTGGTAAAAAAAGATACAACTCGAATTAAATTGGTTGGTTTAATTTTGAATTCTTTAAGTTTAATTTTGATGAGAATCTAGTATAAGCATATCTTTAAACTAGGACCAAACCATTAAAAAAACTTTCAACTTTGCTAAATCTAACTTTTTTCTTCACCCGAAACTTGTATATTACTTATATTAACATTCTAAATGCATCTACTTGATTTAATGGATAAAAAATTATTTTTATGGAGTCCACGATCTCTCTCATGGTCCGGTCAACATAAGAAATGAGTTAATCAAAAACACATCGTTTCAAACTTTTCCATAACCTACGTCAGCCAATCACAATTTTCGGTTATTATTCGATAGGAAAGAAGCAATTATTGTCTTTTTATTCTCCTAAACCATAACCCTCGATCAATTTTATCATTTAACCAACTTTCCTAAGCAAAATGAAAAGAAGAGAATTATACATAAAATTTCACTTTCATTTTCATAAAAATGACGAGATAAGGACCGACCTCCTTATGTTCCTTAGTAGCATCAACAAAAACTTTAAATTACAAAAAAATGGTGTTATCCTCTTGACAGTTATAGAGGCAACCATGGACCCCGGTGAAGCCAAACCTTCTTTTGCAAAGACATTTGATTACTTAATTAGGTTCTAAGACATTTCTTTATTCTTCCAAAGCTTATCTCTTATATTAATTTCAAGTTTTACTTGGTTGTTGATGAGATTGCCTAAATTGGAGTTTTTGGAAATTGGAGACTTTTCATTATATCGGCCAAATTGGATTTTTTTTTTTTTTTTTTTGCTATTTAAAGTCTTATACTTCTCTAAAACAGTATTTATTTGTTAATTTATTTATTTGAAATAGTATGTTTTGGATTAAAATGATCACATGAGAAAGCGAAAATCCCAAAAAAAATTTTTTAATACATTAAATTTAAATTTGAGTGCTACTGTAATTAATGTTTAAGATGATACCTAAAAAGAAAGTTAGATTTAAGATATAATTAAAACAACCAACAAAGTTATTTATTTATTTTTTTTTTATGATTTGGTCTTTAACAATAAGGTTGAGCATACTTCACGTTGAGCTGACCAAATAGATCGAACCAAAATAACTTAGGTTCAGTTTGAGTTGATTTTTAACATGTGGAGTTTATTCAAGCACTTTTTTTTTTTTTAATCATGAAGCTAAAAAATATAGGCTTAAACTAAACCTAAAAATAAATAAAAAAAAACAACTGACTCCATAAAAATCAAATCAGTTCGGTTCTAAACACTATTTCAGCTTGATTCGGATTTCATCTTAAAAGTTCAGTTTGATTTGATTTACTTTAAAACGAATCAACGGTTCGCACAACCCTATTTAACAGCCCAAAAAGCCTGTTTACTTTGAATCTTTGAAAAAGAACAGGGAGAAGGAAACATGAGAGGCTTGTCGTTGTTATAGACTCTCAAGTTTATGAGTTTTGAGGGATCTTTGAGCTTATTTTAATTGTAAGAGTTAGTCGTTTAAAGAACTGAAATTTAACCAGCATAGAAGTAATTCGAGCAAACTAACATTGTCGTTTAAAGAACTGAAGGGTAAAATGAATAAACTTATATATAAACAACAAAAAGCAAAGTTTTCCTAAAATATATAGATCAAAATACGCAAACTCATCACCAATACAATACTGAAACCCTCCTCCATAACATAGTCAATTACAAAAAAACCATAAGTAAAAACACAAATTCTTACTTTACGACCAACAAATCCTGTAATACAGTAAACATGCCATTAGTATTCTTATTTTATCTTTTTCTGGATAAAGGTCTCAGTTAGAGCAGATTCAGACATAAAAGATAATACAGTAAACATGCCATTAGTATTCTTATTTTATCTTTTTCTGGATAAAGGTCTCAGTTAGAGCAGATTCAGACATAAAAGAAGCTACCAGTAGTCGAGAAGCCTGCAATACCAAACAAGTTCCCAGATCAAAGAAAGAAAAATACTAGTATATAGTAATTATAGGTAATTAAAGTTGCAATCTTTCTGTTAAAAATAGGGCAGGGGTATCACTCACCTCCTCATTCCCGACATGAACATTCAGCTCTTCAATGTCATTGAAAGGTATATTCAATTTGTTTAAAACGGACAGACCGGAAATTTGGGATATGGGTGTTACAATCAGATCATCTGTTACTGTGAACATAGCAGGTCCCTTCATAAATCCTCTGCCAGTTTTACCGCTCTTGTATGTTGATTTTGGATCCTTTACTCTTAAGGCAATGCTTCTATTGCTAGTAGGTTTATCCAAAGAAATCCCAACATTAAACCCTAAACCATTACTACTCAATTTGAGGTAGCAGAGCTGGTGGGCAACTTCCTTCACCCCTAGAAGCTGGTTCTCATAGCCAAAATCAGGAGCAATCTTGGGACTAAGTAAAATCTCTTTATGGACATTTGTTTGGAAGTATTTCTCACTATCAAGATCCATAATACTTTTATATAAATAGTCTATGCACCCTTTTGAATGAGCACCATTCATTTCACCATTCATTTCTTTCATTATAAACCCAAGAGGAATGGTAAGGAAACTAAAGAGTAAATCAACAAAATCATCACCAACTTCTGCATAGCACACCCTTTTCTTGGATTTGCTGAGAAATAGCCTTGCACAAATCTTCACATTTTCTTTTCGTGCATTTTCCCTAATAAGTTGGTGCTTAATTATTGAACTCGCTTGAAAAGTTTTCTTGCCAAAATCAGGTAATTCTTTAGGCCTCAAGAAAGTTTCTGTTAAAGGAAATTTTGATACAAACAAGTTTTTCAGCAAATTCAAAACCTGAAACAAAAAAACAAAACCATGAAATGTCGTCAAACTAGTCAATCTTTAACAAATTAAATCATCAGTTCTATTAGTTACCTCATCAAATCCAATACTAAAGACTCTCTCCTCGGTGGAACTCATATCCATCCTCGGTGGAACTCATATCCATGATTCCAAACTTGGAAATCAAAGAAAAGCTTGCAGCAGCTGACGAAGGCATCACCTGTAACTCGTCGCTTATTACAAACCCAGTAAATTCTTTAGCAAAAGCTGTTCCATCTATTGAATCCTTTGATCCAATAGTATCTACTGTGACTGAAGAGTTCATGGCATTTCCACAATCACAATAGCTACCTGCGTACTGACTCAGTAACTTACACTCAGAGGTTATGCAATCTAACTTCCCACAAAAAAAGTATTGCCGAGTCTCGCTATCAATTTTCAGTTTCAAGTCCTTATACTGAGTTGCAGACCCATTTTGAGGGCGCAGCAGCATTGTCTTACATGCTTCAGTTCTGAAACGCTTGACATTGAGATTTTCAACACTTGCATACAAGTTGTTCATACAACCTATCGCTGTGATTGGTGGCTGATTATTTGTGAGCCTGACGATGGTTCCAATAGGCATTGTCAAAAAACTAAAGAGAACATCAGCCATCAGCGAAAATCCTCAAGCGAAATCCTCATCAGATTCAGCAAATATTATTCTGTCGTTTGCCTTGTCAACTAATGCCTTCAACTCAATAGACATTTTTGCTCAGATAGTAACCCACACGGTTTGGAATCTGCAATTATTGTTAAGATTTGATTCAAAATTAAGTTAGTGGAGCCTTTATGTCACGACCCGTTTCCATGGGCCGGACCGGCACTAGAGCCCAGGTAAGCTTAAGACCCCGAGGCTCGTAGTAAGCCTGAATCACCAAAATACAACTATTTTAATATGAATTTCTACCATTCAGCCAATATTACTACGCGCAATAAACCTTATAATTATATTATATTTCGGCCCCAAATTTAGCATTTTAAACACTTCATAAATCGGCCCAATTTGTAATACACTACAGTCATAATATGGGCTATCGGTAATACATGCACTAAGGATATATATATCTTACAACTGCGTAGTTTGATAATATCTAGGGAGTAATAAAATTTTTATACGTAACAATACATTAATTAATTAACTACAGAAATTTAGAAATTTACTTTTATAACTCTGCGGAGAAGATTACAGAGCCTTAGCCAACTCGAAGGAATTTCCTAATTCCTGGAAAGTTAAACAAGGGAAATGTGAGTTTTATAATGAATAGGAATTACTACACATGCATTCACACGAATGTGTAAATAATTAAATCTAGTCATCCGACTAGTTATATGGTCACGCAGACAGTCACACAAATGACATCACAACAGCACTCACAACAACAGCACTTCACCATAATTAACACATCACAATAATCACATCACGTGGAAATTGTTCTGTGGCCGTCACCGATACCTCGCGATGAGCCGTCTCTCTCATGGCCCATCCTATCATGACGTGTGCAGTGTGCACCAGGAAGCCGATCCCCCATACATGGTCGACCGGTCTAATCCTCACTTGACCAGCCCCCTCATTGTTTTTTCATTCTCTTTTTTCTTTTCCATACCAACAGGAGGCCACCCTGTGATTTTCCATATCATCCATATCATTTCATCAGGTGTACACGGGGGCGTCGATCTCCCCAAACCTGGTCAACGGTCAATTTCCATATTTTCATCATTTCCAGGACCGTCCTCACAAACCCATAGTGACCCATTTCATCCCAATTCCACACAAACAAGGCATAGGAATGTCACAACACATCTAATCAAACATTACAATTAAATGCAAGCACATTAAATGAACAAACATTGTTATGCTAATGTTCAAATATAAACATATATACAATAAGTAGAAAAGTAATGAATTAAAAATATAAACATATATACAATAAGTAGAAAAGTAATGAATTAAATAAGTGATAATCCATTAAATAGACAATTATAGCATTATGTAGCAATGTAACTATGCATAATGCAGATGATATTATACTATTTATTATTATTTATTACACTAGATGGGAAAAGACTTAAATTCCGATTCCAACTTGTCGAATTAATGAACCAACTAAAGTGATTCTAATGAAATGAAATTGGTAGGAGAGGAAAGAATTAATTAAAACTTCCTCCTAAATAATAAAGGATTATCCTAAATAAATCCTGCGGCCTATTCACAAATAAAACTATTATAGATTCAGTCGAAATTTCTGCAGAACCTCCATTAAAAATTGGACTATCCACCTATTTAAAGAAACACAACTTAATATATATAGATATCAATCATTACACATAGCCCATCCATCGGGCGATCAAGCAATTAAATTTCCCTTCCTCCATCCAAATACCAATATCAAGCAATGATTTGAAGAAATAATTAAGAATAAAATTTCTAAATTCCAGCTTAAACTCATAACGCACAGGCTAGCAAATTCACTAATCAACTTCTTATCATTGGTACCTAAGTCTTATACAAGGATAACTAAATATTTCACAAAAGATCGAAAGATTCAGATTTAGATATTTATATATAAAACAAAATACACTAATTAATCCTTAATTAACATTCGACTCATATTAGCTTAATAATTATAACCCTTATTATATTAAACTTCATAGAACATATTACTTAATAATATTAACCCTTATTAATATTAACTTCATAGAAACTAAAACATCCTAATTATTATCAAATTCATACATATAACTTATTTTGAGTACTAACCAAATGTAATTACTTTGCTAACTAGCTAATTAAACCTTTCTAAGATTGTATAGTTCTTGTTTATCGACTTTCTGTGATTTTTCAGCCTAAAGCCTAATTTCTAAAGATACGTCAATCCACAGTTCAATATCAATTGATGTCAGATAGTAAAACTAATTATATATTCATACTCTACACGAAAAATGCAATGTTCTGTCTATTGGAAACTCCGGTCACCGGAGCCACCGCTGTCTCTGCCGTCCACGTTGGCCGGAGGTACCATGGTTCCAAAATCTTGCAACTCTTACGCAAAAACATAGCAAATTTCATATAAAACCCAGTTCTATAGCTAACTACTACAAATTATGTCAACATCTAACGAAATCCCAATTTTTTTATTCTTAAATCCCTAAGTCCCATTTTGATCAATTCCTTCAATAAATCGCCTATTCTATACAAAATAATTTGCAAAAGAGTGAGGAGGGAGGATAATCGGCTTAACTTGTCGGCGATAGTCGCCGGAGTTGCTCGGAGAGAAGGACGAAGACGCGACTGTCTCGATCGGGCTGAAGTCGCGGCTTTGTTGTGACTTTTGCGCTCACCAGAAACGGACAGCTGCAGCGAGGAGTCGACGGCGAGGAGGCGCGGCGCGGGTCTCTGGTTGTCGGAAAACGATAGGAGGAGAGGGGCGCGCCTGCCTCGCTTAAGAGGGAAGAAGAAGAAAGAAAAAAAAAAAGGAAAATGGTTTCTGGAATTTTTTTGGCCATTCCGGTTCGATTCGAATCGATTTGGCTCAATTCAATGATTTGGCTCTATTTTTTGTTTGGTTCGATTCGAACCGATTTGACTCAATTCAATGATTTGGCTCTATTTTTTTGTTTGGTTTTCGAGTTTTCCACTTGGTTTTAGGAAAATTCAAACTGATTTCCCGGCCCGATTGATTTATTTTAATTGATTTAATATTTAACGTCCAATATAATTCTTAACAAGTTTAGAAAATCCTCGGTTAGGTGTTGAGACACTATACTTTGGGCTTGGGCCCAACTCGCGAAATTGGATGCGATTAAGGTTATATAGTACTTGCGGCCCACATAATCAAAAATTCTGATTTTTGATTTATTAAAAATTCAAAAATTTCGAAAATAAAATTCCTGGATTTATGTTACTGTTAGTAGTGGCAAATAAAAGATTATCTGCTGCAGATAGTATAGATTAGTTGCAAATTTTAGGCTATTTATTTTCTATTCAGTTGTTATGTAATGCCTATAAAATGCTCTGTTTTCTTCTTCATTTAATATGCAAATATACACAGCTCCACTTTCTCTTCTGTCTTTTTGGTTTCTTAATTATCTTAATTAACCAGCAATTATATAAGAACAATTCAAAATCACAAACAGATATCTGCAATATTTTTTTCTTCTTGGAAGGAACATTCATAGTTCTTCGAAAAGTTGCCCTAGATAACAAGTGCTCAAAATGCTGAAGTAGCAGCCCCTCTACTTAATCAATCACAAAAGAGGTTCTTTCAAAAAAAAAAAAACAAAACGAAGGAAATATATATATATATATATGCTTCATGGAGCAAAAGCATAGAAATAAAGTTCATCCCAATCAATAAAATTAGAAAACAATGAAAATATATATATATATATGCTTCATGGAGCAAAAGCATAGAAATAAAGTTCATCCCAATCAATAAAATTAGAAAACAATGAAAAACAGAAAAAAAAAAAAAAATTTCAGTGGTTGGCCCTTTTGATCATTATATAATGGTGTATAAGCTAAAAAAGTTGAGATGTTGTACCTGAAACTGGTATTCTTGAGTCTCAGAAATCCAACTTACTGCAAGTGTAAGCAGAGAAGTTCCAGCAAGAGTAAAGAACCGCCTGTATATATATAAAGTTCCTACTGCCTTTGCCTTCATTCAGAATAAAGCTACGTAAATTCTACAGATGCCTGCCTCAACACTTGGAATTCTCTCATGTTGTATCCCACCGTTGATTTTGAGAGAATCAACGGTATGAAGTCATCTCTGCAAATAGCATAATAGAAGCCATGGAAGAGCGTTGTGAGATATGAAAAGATTGCAAGAGAGAATTGAAATTTTAAAATATCAAACCATAATAAATTTAGTTTGACAATATCAAGCCACAATACATTTATCACATCTTAAATTTAGTTCGAGTAGGAAATTACATTTCCTAATACCAAACCAATAGAATGTTCAGCCGTTGATTTGAGAGAATCAACGGTATAAAGTCATCTTTGGAAATAGCACAATAGGTGATACGAAAAGATTACGAGAGAGAATTGAAAATAATATCAAGCCATAAATTTAGTTTGATACTATCAAGCCACAAAACATTTATTAAATCTTAAATTTAGTTAAGAGGTAATTAATTTCCTAATACTAAGCCAATGGAATGGTAAGTATAGTAACCTTTTAATTATGCCTTGCAAATGAATTCATTGGAAGATGTGATTTGCATGCTTGACAGGGATGCCTTCTTCTCATTAGGTTAATCGTTTGCTGCAAATTTGGGTGTGTGCTCTATCCCAACGGCGGAGCTGTGGGGGTGTTCATGAAGGGTTGAACTTGGCTAAAAGATATCAACAACAAAAACAGAATTTTACTAAAATATATGGATCAAAATAGGCGAACTCATCGCCAATACAATAATAAAACTCTCCTCAGAGGCCATAATATAGCCAATTACAAATCAAAGTAGAAACATAAATTCTTACTTTTACAACGATATGCATTATATCACAATGACCAACAAATCCTATTTGCTCAAACATCATCAATACTGAAAGGGTCTTCTGGGTCTTTCTTTTCCTGGAGAAAGCTCTCGGTTAGTGCAAATTCAGATATAAAAGAGGCTACCAGGAGTCCAGAAGCCTGCAGGCAGTATCAAACAAGTGCACAGTGAGATCAAGGAAGGAATATACATAGGTACAGTTGCAATCTTTTTATTAGAAACAGATAGGGGTATCAATTACCTCTTCGTTCCCTGCGTACACAACGCGCTCCTCAATGTCATTGCAAGGTACATTCAATTTGTTTAAAATAGACATACCTGAGACTGGGGATATGGGTGTTACAATCAGATCATCTGTTACTGTGAACATAGCAGGTTTCATCACAAATCCTCCACAAGCTTTAGCTTTCTTGTTCGGTGATTGAGGATCTTTTACAGTTAAAGCAATTACTCTTTTGCTAGAAGGTTCATTATCCATAGAAAACCTACCTTTACCAGAGTAATCAAATACATAGTAGTACTGCTGGTGGCTAGCTTCCTCCACCCCTAGCAGCTGTTTCTCATAGCCAAAATCAGGAGCAATCTTGGGACTAAGTAAAATCTCTTTGTGGTCATTTGACTTGAAGTAATTCTCACTATCAAAATCCTTAATACAATTATATAAATGATTTATGCATCCTTTTGAAGGAGCGCCATTCATCTTTTTGATTATAAAACCAAGAGGAAAGGTAAGGAAACTAAAGAGTAAATCAACAAAATCTTCTCCAACTTCTGCATAGCACACCCTTTTCTTGGATTTGCTAAGCACAAGCCTCACACAAATCTTCCCATTTTCTTTTGATGCACTTTCGCCAATTTGACATTTAAAATTAAGGCTCGATTGATCCGAAGTTTCATTGCCTAATTCAGATAATTCTTTAGGCTTCAACAGAGTTTTGGTCAAAGGCAATTTTGATATAAATAAGCTTTTCTGCAAACTCAAGACCTGAATCAATAAAACAAAGCCATGAATTGTCGTAAAACTAGTCTATCTATCACAAAGCAAACCATCAATTTTATCACTTACCTCGTTTAATCCAATGTCAAAGATCCTCTCCTCAATGGAGCTCTCATCCAGGATTCCATGCTTGGAAATCAACGGAAAGCTTGCAGCAGTTGATGCATGCATCACCAGTAATTCATCACTTATTACAAAACGAGCAAGTTCTTTAACAAAAACTCCTCCATCTAACGAATCCTTTGACCCAATAGTATCCACTATGGCTGAAGAGTTCATAGCATTTCCGCAATCACAATAGCTACCTACGTACTGACTCAGTAACTTACACTCATAGGCTATGCGATGAGGACTAAAAAAATGGCGAGATAAGGACCAACCTCCTTATGTTCCTTAGTAGCATCAGCAAAACTTTAAATTACAAAAAATGGTGTTCTCCTCTTGACAGCTATAGAGGCAACCATGGACTCCGGTGAAGCCAAACCTTCTTTTGCAAAGACATTTGATTACTTAATTAGGTTCCAAGACATTTCTTTATTCTTCCAGAGCTTATCTCTTACATTAATTTCGAGTTGTGAGCCTGACGATGGTTCCAATAGGCATCGTCAAAAAACTAAAGAGAACATCAACGAAATCCCCATCAGATTCTGCAAATATCACTCTGTTGTTCGCCTTGTCAACTAATGCCTTTAACTTTATAGACATTTTTTTGGTTCAGATATTATTAATCCACACAGTTTGGAATCTGCAATTAAAAAAACCACTATCATCAACAGATAAATCTCCTGCTAAAGCAAGTTTTTTCTTTTTGGAAGGAACATATATAGGTTTTAGAAAAGTTGCCCTAGATAACAAGTGCTCAAAATGCTAACTGGCAGCTCCTGATTAATTAATCATAAAAGAAGTTCTTTAAAAAAAAAAAGAAAGGAAATACATATTTGATTCGTGGAGGAAAATCACAGAAATAAAGTTCATCCCAATCAATAATATTAGAAAACAATGGAAAACAGAAAGACTAACAGAAAACACAACAACAAAAATAAATCATTGGTTGGCCTTTTTGATCATTATTTAATGGTGTATAAGCTACATAAGTTGAGATGTTATCCACTGACTGCAAGTTTAAGCAGATAGGTTCCAACAAGAGTAAAGAACTGTGTATTTATAAACTTCTTATTGCCTTCCAATTACAAGCACTTTTTTGGAGTATTGATAAAGGTTTCTATCTCATCCAGATGTAGATGGATTGTCTGAATCACTCTTGGAATCCTCTCATGTTGTATCCCAGCCGTTGATTTGAGAGAATCAACGGTATGAAGTCATCTTTGGAAATAGCACAATAGGTGATATGAAAAGATTACGAGAGAGAATTGAAAATAATATCAAGCCATAATAAATTTAGTTTTATACTATCAAGGTACGAAACATGTATTAAATCTTAAATTTAGTTTAAGAGGTAATTAATTTCCTAATACTAAGCCAATAGAATGGTAAGTATAGTAACCTTGTAATTATGCCTTGCAAATGAATTCAATGGAAGATGTGATTTGCTGACAGAGATGCTTCTTCTCATTGGGTTAATGGGTTTGCTGCAAATTTGGGTGTGTGCTCTCTCTATCCCAACGGCGGAGCTGTGGGTTGTTCATGAAGAGTTGAACGTGGCTAAAAGATATGGTCTTGCTTCTTTTTTTCTAGAATGCAAAATTGAGTTTGTTGTGAGATTGATCAGAGGCGAAGTTTCTGTTCCTGTTCGCACCCCCTGTTAGTTTCAACCGCTAGTGATTCTGATTCAAGTATTCAGGCGAAGTTTCTGTTCCTGTTAGTTTTCAACCGCTAGTGATTTCTATCAAGTATCTTCTCGAGGAGTTTGCTTTTGGTCTGGTTTCTCAAATTAATAGAGAAACGAATATGTGCGCATATTGGCTTGCTTGCTATGTGAGTAATCTTCCAATGGGTGTTAATGGTCTTCTTGCTTGTCCCTCCTTGCTTCCTCGCGAAGTTATGGGCGTAGCCTACTATAGGCTTTATATCAAAGCTTTTGCTTTTTTTTCTACCAAAAAAGAAAAAAATATTGCAAACATGTTATAACTTGTATGTTTTTTTTTTTTAAACCACCTGTATCTATCTGGATTTCTTTATTAGAAACCGAACCACCTAATTCGTAAGAGTGAGCATTGCATTCCGTTAAGGTAACTCAATTTGAAATCAAGGGGTAAAAAAGATACAACTCGAATTAAATTAGTTAGTTTAGTTTTGAATTCTTTAAGTTTAATTTTGATGGAGAATCTAGTATAAGCACATTTTTAAATCACGGCCAAACCATTAAAAAAACTTTCAAACTTTGCTAAATCTAACTTTTTTCTTCACCCGAAACTTGTATATTACTTATATTAACATTCTAAATGCATCTACTTGATTTAATGGATAAAAAATTATTTTTATGGAGTCCACAATTTCTCTCATGGTCAGGTTAACATAAGGAATGAGTTAATCAAAAATACATCGTTTCAAACTTTTCCATCACCTACATCAGCCAATCACATTTTTCGGTTATTATTCGATAGGAAGGAAGCAATTATTGTCTTTTCATTCTCCTAAACCATAACCCTCGATCAATTTTATCATTTAACCAATTTTCCTAAGCAAAATGAAGAGAAGAAAATTATACATAAAATTTCACTTGCATTTTCAGGCTAAAAAATGACGAGATAAGGACCGACCTCCTTTTGTTCCTTAGTAGCATCAGCAAAAACTTTAAATTAAAAAAAAAATGGTGTTCTCCTCTTGACAGCTATAAAGGCAACCATGGACCCCGGTGAAGCCAAACCTTCTTTTGCAAAGACATTTGATTACTTAATTAGGTTCTAAGACATTTCTTTATTCTTCCAAAGCTTATCTCTTATATTAATTTCAAGTTTTACTTGGTTGTTGATGAGATTGCATAAACAAGTTTTACTTGGTTGTTGATGAGATTGCATAAATTGGAGTTTTTGGAAATCGGAGATTTTCATTATATCGGCCAAATTGAAGCTTATTTGTTAAAACACATTTTAGTTAAATAATTGTATTATTTAAAATATCAAACCATAATAAATTTAGTTTGACAATATCAAGCCACAGTACATTTATCACATCTTAAATTTAGTTTCAGTAGGTAATTACATTTCCTAATGCCAAACCAATAGAATGTTATGTATAGTAATAACCTTTTACTTTCAAATGTAAATTCTGCCTTGTAAATGAATTCATTGGATAATGTTATTTAATTACATGTTTGACAACTTTAAATTCAGTCTTGCCAACCGGTCACTCAATCTTCGCTAGTCACAAATCATGAGTGACCAAATTGTAAGAATTAGGTATTTATAATTGCAATTTATCATGCATACAAGTGATTCGTACAAACTAACATTGTCGTTTAAAGAACGAAAGGGTAGAATGAATACAAACAATTCCTCAGTTACTTGTATATAAACGACAAAAACAGAATTTTACTAAAATATATGGATCAAAATAGCCAAACTCATCGCCAATACAATAATTAAACCCTCCTCAGAGGCCATAACATAGCCAATAACAAATCAAAGTAGAAACATAAATTCTTACTTTTACAACGATATCCATTATATCACAATGACCAACAAATCCTATTTGCTCAAATATGATCAAAACGGAAAGGGTTTTCTGGGTTTTTCTTTTCCTGGAGAAAGCTCTCGGTTAGTGCAGATTCAGATATAAAAGAGGCTACCAGGAGCCGAGAAGCCTGCAGGCAGTATCAAACAAGTGCACAGTGAGATCAAGGAAGGAATATACATAGGTACAGTTGCAATCTTTCTATTAGAAACAGATAGGGGTATCAATTACCTCTTCGTTCCCTACATACACGACGCGCTCCTCAATGTCATTGAAAGGTACATTCAATTTGTTTAAAATAGACGTACCTGAGACTAGGGATATGGGTGTTACAATCAGATCATCTGTTACTGTGAACATAGCAGGTTTCATCACAAATCCTCCACAAGCTTTAGCTTTCTTGTTCGGTGATTTAGGATCTTTTACAGTTAAAGCCCTCCACAAGCTTTACTTTCTTGTTTCGGTGATTTAGGATCTCTTTACAGTTAAAGCAATTACCTCTTTTGCCAGAAGGTCATCTATCCATTAGAAAAAACCTACCTTTACCAGAGTAATCAAATACATAGAGTACTGCTGGTTGGCTAGCTTCTCCACCCCTAGCAGCTGTTTCTCATGAAACATTAGACTTCCTCCACCCCTAGCAGCTGTTTCTCATGGCCAAAATCAAGAGCAATCTTGGGACTAAGTAAAATCTCTTTATGGCCATTTGTTCTGAAGTATTTCTCACTATCAAGATCCATAATACTTTTATATAAATAGTCTAAGCACCCTTTTGAATGAGCACCATTCATTTCTTTCATTATAAACCCAACAGGAATGGTAAGGAAACTAAAGAGTAAATCAACAAAATCATCACCAACTTCTGCATAACACACCCTTTTCTTGGATTTGCTGAGAAATAGCCTTGCATAAATCTTCACATTTTCTTTTCGTGCATTTTCCCTAATAAGTTGGTGCCTAATTACTGAACTCGCTTGAAAAGTTTTCTTGCCAAAATCAGGTAATTCTTTAGGCCTCAAGAAAGTTTCTGTTAAAGGAAATTTTGATACAAATAAGCTTTTCAGCAAATGCAAAACCTGAAACAAAAAAACAAAACCATGAAATTTCGTCAAACTAGTCGATCTTTAACAAATTAAATCATCAGTTCTATTAGCTACCTCATCAAATCCAATATTAAAGACTCTTTCCTCTGTGGAACTCATATCCATGATTCCAAGCTTGGAAATCAAAGAAAAGCTTGCAGCAGTTGACGAAGGCATCACCTGTAACTCGTCGCTTATTACAAACCGAGTAAATTCTTTAGCAAAAGCTTTTCCATCTATTGAATCCTTTGCTCCAATAGTATCTACTTTGGCTGGAACGATCATGGCATTTCCGCAATCACAATAGCTACCTGAGTACTGACTCAGTAACTTACACTCAGTGGTTAAGCAATCTGACGTCCCACAATAAAAGTATTGTGGAGTCTCGCTATCAATTTTCAGTTTCAAGTCCTTATACTGAGTTGCAGACCCATTTTTAGGGCGTAGCAGCATTGTCTTACATGCTTCAGTTCTGAAACGTTTGACATCAAGATTTTCAACACTTGCATACAAGTTGTTCAAGATTTGTTCAACCCACTGCATACAAGTTGTTCATACAACCATATCGCTGTGATTGCGTGGCTTGATTAGTGTGAGACCTGACGATGGTTCCCAATAGGCATCGCAAAAAACTTTAAAGAGAACATCCAACGAAATCCCCAATCAGATTTCTCAAATATCACTTCTGTGTGTTCGGGCCTTGTCAACTAATTTGCCTTTAACTTTATAGGACATTTTAATTTGCGTTCAGATATTATTAATCCACACCAACACAGTTTGGAATCTGCAATTAAAAAAACGACTATCATCAACAGATAAATCTCCTGCTAAAGCAAGTTTTTTCTTTTTGGAAGGAACATATATAGGTTTTAGAAAAGTTGCCCTAGATAACCAGTGCTCAAAATGCTAACTGGCAGCTCCTGATTAATTAATCATAAAAGAAATTCTTTAAAAAAAAAGAAAGGAAATACATATATGATTCGTGGAGAAAAATCACAGAAATAAAGTTCATCCCAATCAATAATATTAGAAAACAATGGAAAACAGAAAGACTAACAGAAAACACAACAACAAAAAAAAAATCATTGGTTGGCCTTTTTGATCATTATTTAATGGTGTATAAGCTACATAAGTTGAGATGTTATCCACTGACTGCAAGTTTAAGCAGATAGGTTCCAACAAGAGTAAAGAACAGATAGGTTCCCAACAAGATAAGAACATTGTATTATAAACTTCTATGCCTTCCTTCAGAAGAAGTGCAAGAGTATATATATGCCTGATCAACTCTGGATATCCCTCTCATGTTGTATCCCAAGCCGTTGATTTGATGAGGAATCAACGGATAAAGTCATCTGGAAATTATGGCACCAATAGGTTTGATACGAAAAGATTAGCGAGAGAGAATTGGAAAATATATCAGCCTATAAATTTAGTGATACTTATCAAGCCACGGAAACATTTATTAAATCTTAAATTTAGTTTTAAGAGTTAAATAATCTTAAATTTAGTTTAAGAGGTAATTAATTTCCTAATACTAAGCCAATAGAATGGTAAGTATAGTAACCTTTGATTATGCCTTGCAAATGAATTCATTGGAAGATGTGATTTACATGCTTGACAGGGATGCTTCTTCTCATTAGGTTAATGGGATTGCTGCAAATTTGGGTGTGTGCTCTATCCCAACGGCGGAGCTGTGGGGTGTTCATGAAGGTTTGAACTTGGCTAAAAGATGTGGTCTTGCTTCTCTTTTTCTGGAATGCAACATTGAGTTTGTTGTGAGATTGATCAAAGGCGAAGTTTCTGTTCCTGTTAGTTTTCAGCCGCTAGTGATTTTTATCAAGTATCTTCTCGAGGAGTTTGCTTTTGGTCTGGTTTCTCAACTTTATAGAGAAACGAATATGTGCGCATATTGGCTTGCTTGCTATGCGAGTAGTCTTCCAATGGGTTTTAATGATCTTCTTGCTTTCTCCTCCTTGCTTCCTCGTGAAGTTATGGGAGTAGCCTACTATAGGCTTTATATCAAAGCTTTTGCCTTTTTTTTTCTACCAAAAAAAAAAAAAAAAAAAAAAAAAAAAAAAAAAAAAAAAAAAAAAATTGCAAACATGTTATAGCTCCATGTTTTTTTTTTTAAACCACCGGTATCTTGATTTATTTATTAGGTAACTCAATTTGAAACCAAGTGATAAAAAAAGATACAACTCGAATTAAATTAGTTGGTTTAGTTTTGAATTCTTTAAGCTTAATTTTGATCGAGAATCTAGTATAAATATATCTTTAAACCACAGCCAAACCATTAAAAAAACTTTCAACTTTGCTAAATCTAACTTTTTTTGTCACCAAAACTTGTCTATTACTTATATTAACATTCTAAATTCATCTACTTGATTTAATAATAAAAAATTATTTTTATGAGACTCACAGTCTCTCCCATAATTAGATTAACATAAGGAATGAGTTAATCAAAAACACATCGGTTCAAATTTTTCTCCATCCCCTACATCAGCCAATCACATTTTTCGGTTATTATTCGGTAGGAGTGAAGCAATAATCATCTTTTCATTCTCCCAAATCACAACCCTCGATCAATTTTATCATTTAACCGCCTTTCCTATGCAAAACGAAGAGAAGAAAATTATGCATAACCTTCTTTTGCAAAGACATTTGATTAGTTAATTAGGTTCTAAGACATTTCTTTATTCTTCCAGAGCTTATCTCTTACATTGATTTCGAGTTTTACTTGGTTGTTGATGAAATTGCATAAATTGGAGTTTTTGGAAATTGGAGATTTTCATTATACCGGCCAAATTGAATTGCTTGTTTGTTAAAACACATTTTAGTTAAATAATTGTATTATAAAGTGAATTGATACTTAGCGTTAATGTTAATAGATTGACCTATTTTTGTTTCAATTTTTGACTTTCATGTGGTTGTATATTTTATAAATTTGATTTGACAATTGAATTTTTTTTTATTTTTGCTATTTTCAATCTTATACTTCTTTAAAGCAGTATTTATTTGTTAATTAATTTATTTAAAATAGTGTGTTTTGGATTCAAATAATTACGTGAGAAAACGAGAATCCCGAAAAACTTTTTTAATACATTAAATCGAGTAAAATTTGAATTTGGGTGCTATTGTAATTAATGTTTAAAATGGTACCTAAAAAAAAAAAAAGTTAGATTTAAGATATAATTAAAACAATTCGTATAAGTTTGAGTTGATTTTTAACATATGGAGTTTATGTTTCGGTTTAAAATACAAGCACTTTTTTTTTTTTTTTATCATGAAGCAAAAAATATTGGCTTAAACTAAAGCTAAAAATAAATAAAAAAACAATTGAACCCATAAAAATCAAATCAGTTCGGTTCTAAACACTATTTCAGCTTGATTCGGGTTTCATCTTAAAAGTTCAGTTTGATTTGATTTATTTTAAAACGAATCAACGGTTCGCACAACCCCAACGGTTCGCACAACCCTATTTAACAACCCAAAAACGACAGTTCGCACCCCCGTATTTAAAAGGCTGTTGCAAAGGTTTGCAATCCCGGTTGAAAGCTATCTACGCTGCGAATTCCTGTCGTCAAAAAGAATCAGACTCAAAACGCCAAACGGAGAATTTTGGCATTTTTTTCATTTATTTTTTTTTAACTGCCCTCCATATAATACCGGCCCTTCACAGTTTTTAACTTCTCTTCAGTTTTCGTTCTGCCCTCTCTTTTCAGGTGCGTTTGTTTCCTTCTCTAGCACTCCTCTTCCTTGCTTCGCCATAGAATCTCTGTTTCTTTAACCTTCTCTAGCACTCCTCTTCCTTGCTTCGCCATAGAATCTCTGTTTCTTTAACAAAATCAACGCCTTCTCTCTCGCCGATCTATTTCTTCTATATTTGCGTAATAAGCAGAAATACGCATAGCAGTAGTGCCGATCTACATTTTAAACCCTAAATCTTCATTTTCTTTTGAATTGTCTCTAGGGTTAGCTAACCTGCAAGTTTCAGCCTTTCAGGTATGCAATTAGTGCCGTTGCCTTTTTCTTTTCCTTGTGTGGAATAGTTTGGTTGCTGGGCAAGATGGATGAGGAATTTGAGGTTACTGATGGTTATTGGCTATTTTGTTGTAAAAAATGAAAATTTGAAACTTTGATATGTTAGACTGGTTTTTGCATGTCTGGTTTTCCATAGTCGTGTACTTAAATTACCATGATTGAACATTTCTTGACGCAAGATTGTACGAGTTCCATGATAGGTGTAGCTTGACTTGTCTACATGCGTTACTGCTTTTTCCCAATAATGATTCCACAGCTTTTGTTAGAATCATACTTGGAGTCTTTTAAGAATGGTTATTTGTTACTATTATGCATAACATATATAGGTTTTTGAGGGGATGAATTGGATGAGAATCTATGTGACGTTTTTTTTTTATCAATAAAGGATTAGATTAAAAGGAAATACAATAATTAAATCCAGATTTTCAAGAATCATTTAATTTACTTTTGCATAATAAGAATATAAATGTGAAATCAATCTAGCTAATCCTTTGCAAATTTAGTAATTTCTCATTTTTGTATATAACGTGTACGCTAATGTTGAATTTCACACTATTTTAAGTATTTTATTAATTAATATAATTCAAATAATTTATATACATTAAATACCATGTGATTAAATAATTAATTTCATCAATATATACTTTGTCTTATTAAGATCAAAGTCAAAATTAATCATCGTACTTGTTCACATTCAACACTGCATGCAAGTGATCAAAATTATATTCAAATAATTTACCAAAAAAAGAAAATCCAAAGTAGATTTTAGTAATCTTATTCTGCATTTTTTCTTCAACATAAACACTCAATTGAGCTGCATAAGATGAGGTTTGTCCATTGTTTTGTCTTTGTTTCTTTCAGACAACAGAAGCTTGGCTTAATTCCAAGAATGTACAAGGTAGAAGAAACGTCAAGGAAATTGTTGTGGGCCGAGGTGCAAAAACGTATTAATTTCAGAAAAAGAGAAGATAACAAGCTGTAATTTAATCTGGTCCAAGATCGCAGAAAGAATTTTACTGTGAACTTTTTATGACAAGCAATATCAGACGACGATGATCATATCCACCATTTCCAAATCGTCAAGGCGACGATGCGTTGAGTGTTGATATTTGACAACAAGGCCTTTCACTTTCAACCTTAAATTTGTATATATCAATGTAGTTGAATTAATACCAGGTCTTTTCAATCTAAAACAGAACTGAGTTCTAATACTATTTGCTTTAAATCTTTGAAAAAGAACGGGGAGAAAAAAACATGAGAGGCTTATCGTTGTCAAACTAACATTGTCGTTTAAAGAACTGAAGGGTAAAATGAATAAACTTACATATAAACAACAAAAAGCAAAGTTTTACTAAGATATATAGATCAAAATAGGCAAACTCATCACCAATACAATACTGAAACCCTCCTCCATAACATAGTCAATTACAAAAAGCCACAAGTAAAAACACAGATTCTTACTTAACTACCAACAAATCCTATAATACAGTAAACATGCCATTAGTATTCTTATTTTATCTTTTTCTGGAGAAAGGTCTCAGTTAGAGCAGATTCAGACATAAAAGAAGCTACCAGTAGTCGAGAAGCCTGCAATACCAAACAAGTTCTCAGATCAAAGAAAGAAAAGGTCTCAGTTAGAGCAGATTCAGACATAAAAGAAGCTACCAGTAGTCGAGAAGCCTGCAATACCAAACAAGTTCTCAGATCAAAGAAAGAAAAATACTAGTATATAGTAATTATAGGTAATTAAAGTTGCAATCTTTCCGTTAAAAAAAGGGCAGGGGTATCACTCACCTCCTCATTCCCAACATGAACATTCAGCTCTTCAATGTCATTGAAAGGTATATTCAATTTGTTTAAAACAGACAGACCGGAAAATTGGGATATGGGTGTTACAATCAGATCATCTGTTACTGTGAACATAGCAGGTCCCATCACAAATCCTCCGCCAGTTTTACCGCTCTTATATGTTGATTTTGGATCCTTTACTCTTAAGGCAATGCTTGTATTGCTAGTAGGTTTATCCAAAGAAATCCCAATTTTCCACCCAACATCATTAAAATAAGTCTGTTTTTGGTAGCACAGCTGGTGGGCAACTTCCTTCACCCCTAGAAGCTGGTTCTCATAGCCAAAATCAGGAGCAATCTTGGGACTAAGTAAAATCTCTTTATGGCCATTTGTTTTGAAGTATTTCTCACTATCAAGATCCATAATACTTTTATATAAATAGTGTCCGGATAATACTTATGAAATAGGTTTTGGCGGACCCTGTGTTGAATGAGCCACTGCATCGTCAGTTCGTGTGTCAGTTATGGAAAACCATGAGCACCATTCATTTCTTTATGAGCACCATTCATTTCTTTCATTATAAAACCAAGAGGAATGGTAAGGAAACTAAAGAGTAAATCAACAAAATCATCACCAACTTCTGCATAGCACACCCTTTTCTTGGATTTGCTAAGCAATAGCCTTGCACAAATCTTCACATTTTCTTGTCGTGCATTTTCCCTAATAAGTTGGTGCTTAATTATTGAACTCGCTTGAAAAGTTTCCTTGCTAAAATCAGGTAATTCTTTAGGCCTTAAGAAAGTTTCTGTTAAAGGAAATTTTGATACAAATAAGCTTTTCAGCAAATTCAAAACCTGTAACAAAAAAACAAGCCATGAATTGTCGTCAAACTAGTCGATCTTTAACAAATTAAATCATCAGTTCTATTAGTTACCTCATCATATCCAATATTAAAGACTCTCTCCTCGGTGGAACTCATATCCATGATTCCAAGCTTGGAAATCAAAGAAAAGCTTGCAGCAGCTGACGAAGGCATCACCTGTAACTCGTCGCTTATTACAAACCGAGTAAATTCTTTAGCAAAAGCTGTTCCATCTATTGAATCCTTTGATCCAATAGTATCTACTACAAACCGAGTAAATTCTTTAGCAAAAGCTGTTCCATCTATTGAATCCTTTGATCCAATAGTATCTACTATGGCTGAAGAGTTCATAGCATTTCCGCAATCACAATAGCTACCTACGTACTGACTCAGTAACTTACACTCATAGGCTATGCGATCTAACTTCCGCCAGTCATAGGCTATGCAATCTGACTGCAGACCAAGAAGGTATTCTGGAGTCTCGCCATCATTTTTCAGCTTCCCACAAAAAAAGTATTTTGGAATCTCACTATCAATTTTCAGTTTCAAGTCCTTATACTGAGTTGCAGACCCTTTTTTAGGGCGCAGCAGCATTGTCTTACATGCTTCAGTTCTGAAACGTTTGACATCAAGATTTTCAACACTTGCATACAAGTTGTTCATACAACCTATCGAACGTTTGACAATTGCAAGATTTTTCAAAACACTTGGCATACAGAGTTGTTCCATGCCCAGAAACAACCTATCGCTTGTCTTACATGCTTCAGTTCTGAAACGTTTGACATCAAGATTTTCAACACTTGCATACAAGTTGTTCATACAACCTATCGCTGTGATTGGTGGCCGATTATTTGTGAGCCTGACGATGGTTCCAATAGGCATTGTCAAAAAACTAAAGAGAACATCAGCCAAATCCTCATCACATTCAGCAAAGATTATTCTGTCGTTTGCCTTGTCAACTAATGCCTTTAACTCAATGGACATTTTTGTTCAGATAGTAACCCACACGGTTTGGAATCTGCAATTATAAGAACAACTCAAAATCACAAACAGATATCTGCAATATTTTTTTCTTCCTGGAAGGAACATACATAGTTCTTAGAAAAGTTGCCTAGATAACAAGTGCTCAAAATGCTAATGTAGCAGCCCCTCTTTTTAATTAATCACAAAAGAGGTTCTTTTAAAAAAAAAAAAAAAAAAAAAAAAAACAAAGGAAATATATTATATATATATATATGCTTCATGGAGCAAAAGTCATAAAGACAATAAAGTGTCCATCCCAATCAATAAAATTACAAAACAATTGAAAAAACAGAAAAAAGAAAAAAAAAAATCAAATTTGAGAGACCCTTTTTGATCATTAATAATAATACGATTGTACATACGACTAACTACCCAGATATATATGAGATGTCGTGGTGTCCCCAACCTGAAAACTGGTATTTCCTGAGATCCTCAGAAAAATCCAACTTACGCAAAGTAAGCAGAATAAAGTTTCCAGCAAGAGTAAAGAACCGCCTGTATATATATAACTTCCTACTGCCCTTGCTTCCATTCAGAATAAAGCTAACCTAAAATTCTGCCATATGGCCTGCCTCAACTCTTGGAATTCTTCTCATGTTGGTTATATCCCAGCGCGTTGAACTTCCTTGAGAGAACCTGAAACGGTATGAAAGTCATCGCTTTGAAATACGCACATAAATAGAAGACATTGTCGAAGAGTGTACTTGTGAGATAACGAAAAGCCTTGCCTTCATATCCAGAATAAAGCTACGTTAAAATTCGTGCAGATGCCCTGCCCTCCAACTCTTGGAATTCTCTCATGTTTGGTAAACTCCCAGCTGTTGAATTTAGAGCAGAATCAACGGTAATGAAGTCATCCATCCTATATGGGAAAATAGCATAAATACGAAACAGCCATGGAAGAGTGATATAATGTGACGATTAAAGAACAAGAAATTACGACCAGCAGAGAGGCACAATTGGAAACCTTTTAAAAAATATCAACATAATAAAATTTATTTTGAACAACATAAAATAAACCTTCAACCATAATACACTAATTTAGTTTGACAACAATCAAAGCCTACTGCAATATCAAACCATAATAAATTTAGTTTGACAACATCAAGCCACTGCAATATGTATAACAACCTTTTACTTTCAAATGTAAATTCTGCCTTGTACAGCCGTTGATTTGAGAGAATCAACGGTATAAAGTCATCTTTGGAAATAGCACAATAGGTGATACGAAAAGATTACGAGAGAGAATTGAAAATAATATCAAGCCATAAATTTAGTTTGATACTATCAAGCCACAAAACATTTATTAAATCTTAAATTTAGTTAAGAGGTAATTAATTTCCTAATACTAAGCCAATGGAATGGTAAGTATAGTAACCTTTTAATTATGCCTTGCAAATGAATTCATTGGAAGATGTGATTTGCATGCTTGACAGGGATGCCTTCTTCTCATTAGGTTAATCGTTTGCTGCAAATTTGGGTGTGTGCTCTATCCCAACGGCGGAGCTGTGGGGGTGTTCATGAAGGGTTGAACTTGGCTAAAAGATATCAACAACAAAAACAGAATTTTACTAAAATATATGGATCAAAATAGGCGAACTCATCGCCAATACAATAATAAAACTCTCCTCAGAGGCCATAATATAGCCAATTACAAATCAAAGTAGAAACATAAATTCTTACTTTTACAACGATATGCATTATATCACAATGACCAACAAATCCTATTTGCTCAAACATCATCAATACTGAAAGGGTCTTCTGGGTCTTTCTTTTCCTGGAGAAAGCTCTCGGTTAGTGCAAATTCAGATATAAAAGAGGCTACCAGGAGTCCAGAAGCCTGCAGGCAGTATCAAACAAGTGCACAGTGAGATCAAGGAAGGAATATACATAGGTACAGTTGCAATCTTTTTATTAGAAACAGATAGGGGTATCAATTACCTCTTCGTTCCCTGCGTACACAACGCGCTCCTCAATGTCATTGCAAGGTACATTCAATTTGTTTAAAATAGACATACCTGAGACTGGGGATATGGGTGTTACAATCAGATCATCTGTTACTGTGAACATAGCAGGTTTCATCACAAATCCTCCACAAGCTTTAGCTTTCTTGTTCGGTGATTGAGGATCTTTTACAGTTAAAGCAATTACTCTTTTGCTAGAAGGTTCATTATCCATAGAAAACCTACCTTTACCAGAGTAATCAAATACATAGTAGTACTGCTGGTGGCTAGCTTCCTCCACCCCTAGCAGCTGTTTCTCATAGCCAAAATCAGGAGCAATCTTGGGACTAAGTAAAATCTCTTTGTGGTCATTTGACTTGAAGTAATTCTCACTATCAAAATCCTTAATACAATTATATAAATGATTTATGCATCCTTTTGAAGGAGCGCCATTCATCTTTTTGATTATAAAACCAAGAGGAAAGGTAAGGAAACTAAAGAGTAAATCAACAAAATCTTCTCCAACTTCTGCATAGCACACCCTTTTCTTGGATTTGCTAAGCACAAGCCTCACACAAATCTTCCCATTTTCTTTTGATGCACTTTCGCCAATTTGACATTTAAAATTAAGGCTCGATTGATCCGAAGTTTCATTGCCTAATTCAGATAATTCTTTAGGCTTCAACAGAGTTTTGGTCAAAGGCAATTTTGATATAAATAAGCTTTTCTGCAAACTCAAGACCTGAATCAATAAAACAAAGCCATGAATTGTCGTAAAACTAGTCTATCTATCACAAAGCAAACCATCAATTTTATCACTTACCTCGTTTAATCCAATGTCAAAGATCCTCTCCTCAATGGAGCTCTCATCCAGGATTCCATGCTTGGAAATCAACGGAAAGCTTGCAGCAGTTGATGCATGCATCACCAGTAATTCATCACTTATTACAAAACGAGCAAGTTCTTTAACAAAAACTCCTCCATCTAACGAATCCTTTGACCCAATAGTATCCACTATGGCTGAAGAGTTCATAGCATTTCCGCAATCACAATAGCTACCTACGTACTGACTCAGTAACTTACACTCATAGGCTATGCGATGAGGACTAAAAAAATGGCGAGATAAGGACCAACCTCCTTATGTTCCTTAGTAGCATCAGCAAAACTTTAAATTACAAAAAATGGTGTTCTCCTCTTGACAGCTATAGAGGCAACCATGGACTCCGGTGAAGCCAAACCTTCTTTTGCAAAGACATTTGATTACTTAATTAGGTTCCAAGACATTTCTTTATTCTTCCAGAGCTTATCTCTTACATTAATTTCGAGTTTTACTTGGTTGGTGATGAGATTGCATAAATTGGAGTTTTGGAAAATTGGAGATTTTCATTATACCGGCCAAATTGAAGCTTGTTCGTTAAAACACATTTTAGTTAAATAATTGTATTATAAAGTGAATTGCTACTTGATTAGCGTTAATGTTAATAGATTGGCCTATTTTTGTTTCAATTTTTGACTTTCATGTGGTTGTATATTTTATAAATTTGATTTGACAATTGGATTTTTTTTTTTGTTTTTGCTATTTTCAGTTTTATATTTCTCTAAAGCGGTATTTATTTATATAAAATAGTGTGTTTTGGATTCAAATAATCACGTGAGAAAACAAGAATCCCAAAAAATTTTTTTAATACATTAAATCGAGTAAAATTTGAATTTGGGTGCTATTGTAAGTAATGTTTAAGATGGTACCTAAAAAAAAAAATTAGATTTAAGATATAATTAAAATAACTGTAAATATATATATATATATGCTTCATGGAGCAAAAGCATAGAAATAAAGTTCATCCCAATCAATAAAATTAGAAAACAATGAAAAACAGAAAAAAAAAAAAAAATCAGTGGTTGGCCTTTTTGATCATTATATAATGGTGAATAAGCTAAATAAGTTGAGATGTTGTACCTGAAACTGGTATTCTTGAGTCTCGGAAATCCAACTTACTGCAAGTGTAAGCAGAGAAGTTCCAGCAAGAGTAAAGAATCTCCTGTATATATATAAACTTCCTACTGCCTTTGCCTTCATTCAGAATAAAGCTACGTAAATTCTGCAGATGCCTGCCTCAACTCTTGGAATTCTCTGACATTGTCGTTTAAAGAACTAAAGGGCAGAATGAATACAAACAATTCCTCAGTCACTTGTATATAAACAACAAAAACAGAATTTTACTAAAATATATGGATCAAAATAGGCAAACTCATCGCCAATACAATAATTAAACCCTCCTCAGAGGCCATAACATAGCCAATTACAAATCAAAGTAAAAAAATAGGCTTAGACTAAACCTAAAAATAAATAAAAAAACAATTGAACCCATAAAATCAAATCAGCTCGGTTCTAAACACTATTTCAGCTTGATTCGAGTTTCATCTTAAAAGTTCAGTTTGATTTGATTTACTTTAAAACAATCAACGGTTCGCACAACCCTATTTAACAACCCAAAAACGACAGTTCGCACCCAAAGAGGCTACAAAGAGTCCGAGAAGCCTGCAGGCAGTATCAAACGAAGCGCACAGTGGAGATCAAAGGAAGGAAATAAAATACATAGGTACAGTTGCAATCTTTCTATTAGAAAATAGTTAGGGGTACAATTACCTCTTTCGGTTAACCCCTTAACAACACAACGCTTACCTCTTCGTTCCCTACATACACAACGCACTCCTCAATGTCATTGAAAGGCACATTCAATTTGTTTAAAATAGACATACATAAGACTGGGAATATGGGTGTTACAATCAGATCATCTGTTACTGTGAACATAGCAGGTTTCATCACAAATCCTCCACAAGCTTTAGCTTTCTTGTTCGGTGATTTAGGATCTTTTACAGTTAAAGCAAACGTTATTTTGCTAGAAGATTTATCCATAGAAAACCTACCTTTACCACAGTAATCAAATCCATATTAGTACTGCTGGTGGCTAGCTTCCTCCACCTCTAGCAGCTGTTTCTCATAGCCAAAATCAGGAGCAATCTTGGAACTAAGTAAAATCTCTTTGTGGTCATTTGACTTGAAGTATTTCTCACTATCAAGATCCTTAGTACAATTATATAAATGATTTATGCATCCTTTTGAAGGATTGCCATTCATCTTTTTGATTATAAAACCAAGAGGAATGGTAAGGAAACTAAAGAGTAAATCAACAAAATCTTCTCCAACTTCTGCATAGCACACCCTTTTCTCGGATTTGCTAAGCACAAGCCTCACACTAATGTTCACATTTTCTTTTCGTGCATTTTCCCTAATAAGTTGGTGCTTAATTATTGAACTCGCTTGAAAAGTTTTCTTGCTAAAATCAGGTAATTCTTTAGGCCTCAAGAAAGTTTCTGTTAAAGGAAATTTTGATACAAATAAGCTTTTCAGCAAATTCAAAACCTGGTTTTCCCTGTTATTAGGAAATTTGAACAATAAGCTTTGTTCCTATGAAATTTTATTGAACTCGCTTGAAAAGTTTTCTTGCTAAAATCAGGTAATTCTTTAGGCCTCAAGAAAGTTTCTGTTAAAGGAAATTTTGATACAAATAAGCTTTTCAGCAAATTCAAAACCTGAAACAAAAAAACAAAACCATGAACTGTCGTCGAACTAGTCAATCTTTAACAAATTAAATCATCAGTTCTATTAGTTACCTCATTAAATCCAATACTAAAGACTCTCTCCTCGGTGGAACTCATATCCATGATTCCAAGCTTGGAAATCAAAGAAAAGCTTGCAGCAGTTGACAAAGGCACCACCTGTAACTCGTCGCTTATTACAAACCGAGCACATTCTTTAGCAAAAGCTGTTCCATCTATTGAAACCTTTGATCCAATAGTTTCTACTGTGGCTGAAGAGTTCATGGCATTTCCGCAATCACAATATCTACCTGCGTGCTGACTCAGTAACTTAGACCCAGTGGCTAAGCAATTTGACGTCCCACAATAAAAGTATTGTGGAGTCTCGCTATCAATTTTCAGTTTCAAGTCCTTATAGTGAGTTACAGACCCATTTTTAGGGCGTAGCAGCATTGTCTTACATTCTTCAGTTCCGAAACGTTTGACATCAAGATTTTCAACACTTTGCATACAAGTTGTTCATACAACCTATCGCTGTGATTGGTGGCTGATTATTTGTGAGCCTGATGATGGTTCCAATAGGCATTGTCAAAAAACTGAAGAGAACATCAGCGAAATCCTCATCACATCCAGCAAATATTATTCTGTCATTTGCCTTGTCAACTAATGCCTTCAACTCAATAGACATTTTTTTGGTTCAGATATTATTAATCCACACAGTTTGGAATCTGCAATTAAGAAAACCACTATCATCAACAGATAAATCTCCTGCTAAAGCAAGTTTTTTCTTTTTGGAAGGAACATATATAGGTTTTAGAAGTTGCCCCAGATAACTAGTGCTCAAAATGCTAACTGGCAGCTCCTGGTTAATTAATCATAAAAGAAGTTCTTTAAAAAAAAAGAAAGGAAATACATATATGATTCGTGGAGAAAAATCACAGAAATAAAGTTCATCCCAATCAATAATATTAGAAAACAATGGAAAACAGAAAGACTAACAGAAAACACAACAACAGAAAAAAATCATTGGTTGGCCTTTTTGATCATTATTTAATGGTCTATAAGCTACATAAGTTGAGATGTTATCCACTGACTGCAAGTTTAAGCAGATAGGTTCCAACAAGAGTAAAGAACTGTGTATTTATAAACTTCTTATTGCCTTCCTTCAGAAGAAAGTGCAGATATATATATGCCTGACTCAACTCTTGGAACTAAGCACAATAAGTTGAGATGTTATCCACTGACTGCAAGTTTAAGACAGAATAGGTTTCCAACAAGAGTAAAGAACTGTGTTAATTTATAAAACTATGAGTGCCCTCTTCCTTCAAAAAGTGCAAGATATTATATATGCCCTGAACTCAAAAACTCTTGGAACCTCTCATGCGGTTGTTCCCAGCCGTTTGATTTTGGAAGAAGAATCAAAAACGGTAATAAAAAGTCAAATCCTTTGGAAAATAGCACAATAAGGTTGGATACGAAAAGATTACGAGAAGAGAATTGAAATAAATATCAAGCCATAAAAATTTAGTTTGAATAAATAATCAAGCCACAAACATTTATTAAATCTTAAATTTAGTTTTAAGAGGTAATTAAATTTCCCTTAAAATACTAACAGCCGTTGATTTGAGAGAATCAACGGTATAAAGTCATCTTTGGAAATAGCACAATAGGTGATACGAAAAGATTACGAGAGAGAATTGAAAATAATATCAAGCCATAAATTTAGTTTGATACTATCAAGCCACAAAACATTTATTAAATCTTAAATTTAGTTAAGAGGTAATTAATTTCCTAATACTAAGCCAATGGAATGGTAAGTATAGTAACCTTTTAATTATGCCTTGCAAATGAATTCATTGGAAGATGTGATTTGCATGCTTGACAGGGATGCCTTCTTCTCATTAGGTTAATCGTTTGCTGCAAATTTGGGTGTGTGCTCTATCCCAACGGCGGAGCTGTGGGGGTGTTCATGAAGGGTTGAACTTGGCTAAAAGATATCAACAACAAAAACAGAATTTTACTAAAATATATGGATCAAAATAGGCGAACTCATCGCCAATACAATAATAAAACTCTCCTCAGAGGCCATAATATAGCCAATTACAAATCAAAGTAGAAACATAAATTCTTACTTTTACAACGATATGCATTATATCACAATGACCAACAAATCCTATTTGCTCAAACATCATCAATACTGAAAGGGTCTTCTGGGTCTTTCTTTTCCTGGAGAAAGCTCTCGGTTAGTGCAAATTCAGATATAAAAGAGGCTACCAGGAGTCCAGAAGCCTGCAGGCAGTATCAAACAAGTGCACAGTGAGATCAAGGAAGGAATATACATAGGTACAGTTGCAATCTTTTTATTAGAAACAGATAGGGGTATCAATTACCTCTTCGTTCCCTGCGTACACAACGCGCTCCTCAATGTCATTGCAAGGTACATTCAATTTGTTTAAAATAGACATACCTGAGACTGGGGATATGGGTGTTACAATCAGATCATCTGTTACTGTGAACATAGCAGGTTTCATCACAAATCCTCCACAAGCTTTAGCTTTCTTGTTCGGTGATTGAGGATCTTTTACAGTTAAAGCAATTACTCTTTTGCTAGAAGGTTCATTATCCATAGAAAACCTACCTTTACCAGAGTAATCAAATACATAGTAGTACTGCTGGTGGCTAGCTTCCTCCACCCCTAGCAGCTGTTTCTCATAGCCAAAATCAGGAGCAATCTTGGGACTAAGTAAAATCTCTTTGTGGTCATTTGACTTGAAGTAATTCTCACTATCAAAATCCTTAATACAATTATATAAATGATTTATGCATCCTTTTGAAGGAGCGCCATTCATCTTTTTGATTATAAAACCAAGAGGAAAGGTAAGGAAACTAAAGAGTAAATCAACAAAATCTTCTCCAACTTCTGCATAGCACACCCTTTTCTTGGATTTGCTAAGCACAAGCCTCACACAAATCTTCCCATTTTCTTTTGATGCACTTTCGCCAATTTGACATTTAAAATTAAGGCTCGATTGATCCGAAGTTTCATTGCCTAATTCAGATAATTCTTTAGGCTTCAACAGAGTTTTGGTCAAAGGCAATTTTGATATAAATAAGCTTTTCTGCAAACTCAAGACCTGAATCAATAAAACAAAGCCATGAATTGTCGTAAAACTAGTCTATCTATCACAAAGCAAACCATCAATTTTATCACTTACCTCGTTTAATCCAATGTCAAAGATCCTCTCCTCAATGGAGCTCTCATCCAGGATTCCATGCTTGGAAATCAACGGAAAGCTTGCAGCAGTTGATGCATGCATCACCAGTAATTCATCACTTATTACAAAACGAGCAAGTTCTTTAACAAAAACTCCTCCATCTAACGAATCCTTTGACCCAATAGTATCCACTATGGCTGAAGAGTTCATAGCATTTCCGCAATCACAATAGCTACCTACGTACTGACTCAGTAACTTACACTCATAGGCTATGCGATGAGGACTAAAAAAATGGCGAGATAAGGACCAACCTCCTTATGTTCCTTAGTAGCATCAGCAAAACTTTAAATTACAAAAAATGGTGTTCTCCTCTTGACAGCTATAGAGGCAACCATGGACTCCGGTGAAGCCAAACCTTCTTTTGCAAAGACATTTGATTACTTAATTAGGTTCCAAGACATTTCTTTATTCTTCCAGAGCTTATCTCTTACATTAATTTCGAGTTTTACTTGGTTGGTGATGAGATTGCATAAATTGGAGTTTTGGAAAATTGGAGATTTTCATTATACCGGCCAAATTGAAGCTTGTTCGTTAAAACACATTTTAGTTAAATAATTGTATTATAAAGTGAATTGCTACTTGATTAGCGTTAATGTTAATAGATTGGCCTATTTTTGTTTCAATTTTTGACTTTCATGTGGTTGTATATTTTATAAATTTGATTTGACAATTGGATTTTTTTTTTTGTTTTTGCTATTTTCAGTTTTATATTTCTCTAAAGCGGTATTTATTTATATAAAATAGTGTGTTTTGGATTCAAATAATCACGTGAGAAAACAAGAATCCCAAAAAATTTTTTTAATACATTAAATCGAGTAAAATTTGAATTTGGGTGCTATTGTAAGTAATGTTTAAGATGGTACCTAAAAAAAAAAATTAGATTTAAGATATAATTAAAATAACTGTAAAGTTAAAGTTTTTTTTTCTTTTTAATGATTTGGCCTTTAACAATAAGGTTGAGCATACTTCACGCTGAACTGACCAAATAGATCGAACCAAAATAACTTGGTTCAGTTTGAGTTGATTTTTAACATATAGAGTTTATGTTTCGGTTTAAATTACAAGCACTTTTTTGGAGTATTGATAAAGGTTTCTATCTCATCCAGATGTAGATGGATTGTCTGAATCTAGTTACTCATGTTAATCGGCACAATGAATTAGAGCAGGTCCTTCGGTTCTGCTGCGTATTGCTGACTTATTGCATCATCACTCTTCTTCCATTTATCACATATATCTTGAAGGAAATTAAGCTGCACATCTTTTGGCCACTCATCATAGATTTCATCATACTTTTATTTCTTTTACCTCTTTTAATTCTTTGCCTCATTTGATTAAAGGAATTGTATTATTGGAGGCTACGAGGACTAAATATTTGAGATATATATATAAAAAAAAAATTACAAGCACTTTTTTTTTTTAATCATGAAGCTAAAAAAAATAGGCTTAGACTAAACCTAAAAATAAATAAAAAAACAATTGAACCCATAAAATCAAATCAGCTCGGTTCTAAACACTATTTCAGCTTGATTCGAGTTTCATCTTAAAAGTTCAGTTTGATTTGATTTACTTTAAAACAATCAACGGTTCGCACAACCCTATTTAACAACCCAAAAACGACAGTTCGCACCCTCAGCTCGGTTCCTAAACATCTATTTTCCAGCCTTTGGATTCGAGTTTCAAATCTTAAAGTTCAAGTTTGATTTGAATTTCTTTAAAACAATCAACGGTTCGCACAACCCTATTTACAACCCAAATAAATAAAAAAACAATTGAACCCATAAAATCAAATCAGCTCGGTTCTAAACACTATTTCAGCTTGATTCGAGTTTCATCTTAAAAGTTCAGTTTGATTTGATTTACTTTAAAACAATCAACGGTTCGCACAACCCTATTTAACAACCCAAAAACGACAGTTCGCACCCTCGTAATTAAAAGGCTTTTGCAAAGGTTTGCAATCCCAGTTGAAAGCTATCTACTCTGCGAATTCCTGTCGTTAAAAAGAATCAGACTCAAAACGCCAAACGGAGAATTTTGGCATTTTTTTTCTTTTATTTTTTTTTAACTGCCCTCCATATAATACCGCCCCTTCACAGTTTTTAACTTCTCTTCAGTTTTCGTTCTGCCCTCTCTTTTCAGGTGCGTTTGTTCCCTTCTCTAGCACTCCTCTTCCTTGCTTCGCCATAGAATCTCTGTTTCTTTAACAAAATCAACGCCTTCTCTCTCGCTGATCTATTTCTTCTATATTTGCGTAATAAGCAGAAACACGCATAGCAGTAGTGCCGATCTACATTTTAAACCCTAAATCTTCATTTTCTTTTTCTGTATTTTCTTTTGAATTGTCTCTAGGGTTAGCTAACCTGCAAGTTTCAGCCTTTCAGGTATGCAATTAGTACCGTTGCCTTTTTCTTTTCCTTGTGTGGAATAGTTTGGTTGCTGGACAAGATGGATGAGGAATTGGAGGTTACTGATGGTTATTGGCTATTTTGTTTTAAAAAATGAAAATTTGAAACTTTGATATGTTAGACTGGTTTTTGCATGTCCGGTTTTCCATAGTCGTGTATATAAATTACCATGATTGTACATTTCTTGACGCAAGATTGTACATAAATTACCATGATAAAGTTCCATGAAAAGTTTAGCTTGACTTGTCTACATGCGTTACTGCTTTTTCCTAATCATGATTCCACAGCTTTTGTTAGAATCATACTTGGAGTCTTTTAAGAATGGTTATTTGTTACTATTATGCATAACATATATAGGTTGTTGAGGGGATGAATTGGATGAGAATCTATGTGACGTTTTTTAATTATTACCTGTGTTGTTAGGTCCACTAGCATTGATGCTCACTGTGAGTTGAAGCCAGATTCATTGCACCATGGGTTTTGATAATGAGTGCATATTGAACATTCAATCTCTGGCTGGGGAGTATTTCTGCCCTGTTTGTCGTTTACTAGTCTACCCAAATGAAGCATTACAGTCACAGTGTACTCACCTATATTGTAAACCCTGTTTAACTTATGTTGTGAGCACTACCCGCGCTTGTCCCTATGATGGTTTTTTGGTGACAGAAGCAGATTCCAAGGTTCTCTACTGCCTTAACCATTATGAATGTATTTATGTGATTATTTTTATGTTCTTGCTTATAGGTTTTTCTTTTTTTCCCTTTACAACCATTAATTGCAGCCACTTATTGAATCAAACAAAGCACTTGCTGAAACCATTGGCAAGATAACAGTTCATTGTCTATACCATAGAAGTGGATGCACATGGCAGGGTCCTTTGTCTGAATGTACTTCTCATTGTTCTGGATGTGCCTTTGGCAATTCTCCTGTTGTATGTAATAGGTGTGGAATTCAAATTGTGCATCGCCAAGTGCAGGAGCATGCACAAAATTGTCCTGTGAGTTTAAGATAGATATTTTTTCTTTTCTACACCCCCCCATCGTGGGCTCCTTTTTTTTTTTTTTTTTTTTTTTTTTTTTTTTATCGTGGGCTCCCCTTTTTTTTTTTTTTTTTTTTTTTTTTTTTTTTTAATTTTTAATTAATGACTGATTTTCTTTTTATTGTGTTCTCTGTATGTGGGTTTGCTTATTTGTATTTCATGACAGGGTGTGCAATCTCAAGCTCTTACTGAGGCTTACCCAAGGATTCGCCTGCAACAAACAGGGCACACGCCTGCAGCAAGATAGGCCGGCAGGCCAGGAACCAGGGTCAAGGCTCAGACATACTCAAGAGCCAACCGTCCTTAGTCCTCGTTGCCCTGTACACTGGAATCCTTCAGTGCAATCAGTAACTCGCAACTTTCCTAGTCCGGCTAGTCTGTTAGTGCAGGCTAGGATGTGTTCCCATTCTTGGTATTTTTTATCGAACAGTGGGTTTCAACAGGCAGGCCAAACAATAATCAGGCAGTAACTATCCAAGCAGGGTATCCTGGATATGGACTTGTATACATCAGCACATATTCAGCGGATACTACCTTCTACCAAAGCAACATGCAGTCCACAGTATCGGGGTTTTTTTGGGCGGCACAACTCAGGCTTTAGATATGCAGCCTCAACCCCTCACCCTCAGCTTCGAGTCTCAAACTGCAAAGGTTCAACCTCGAGGCTCAGCTGCAAACCAACATCATTTTTTTTTTTTTTTTTTTTTTTTTTTTTTTTTAATTTTTAATTATGAACTGGATTTTCTTTTATATGTGTTCTCTGTATGTGGGTTTGCTTATTTGTATTTCAATGACAGGGTGTGCAATCTCAAGCTCTTACTGAGGCTACCCAGGATGCCGCAACAACAGGGACAACAGCTGCAGCAGATCAGGCCCAGGCAACCACTCAGGCTCAGACATCTCAGACCACCACATCCTCGTTGCCTGTACCGGATCCCAGTCAACAAGTCAACCCAACTACACAGCCGCAGTCTGTAGTGCAGGCTACTGTGCCCACAACGGAACAGTGGTTTCAACAGCAGCAACAATATCAGCAGTACTATCAGCAGTATCCTGGATATGACTTGTATCAACAGCATTATCAGCAATACTACCCTTACCAACAACATGCAGTTCCACAGTATCCACAACCTCAGGCTTATATGCAGCCTCAGACCCCTCACCCTCAGCTTCAGTCTCAACTGCAAGGTCAACCTCAGGCTCAGCTGCAAACCCAACATCAATCACATCCAAACATTCAGCTCCATGCTGCTGCTCAAACCCAAAGCCAGCCACAAGTCAATCCGCAGCAACAAACCACGGGTCAACCACAATCTCAAATACAATCTCAGACACACCCCACTCCTCATGGCCACCCACATCCTCAGGCTCAGTTGCAGCCACAAGCACAGTCTGTCCAACATCATGCACAGAATCTACAGATACCCCAGCAACCTCATACACAGATGCAGCATCCACAACCCCCAGTTCAGGCGCAAGCTCATTCTCTGCTTCATCCTCAGCATCCTGTCCCTCAACCACAACCTCATTCACAAGGGCTGCAGCAAACACATTCGCAACATCCTGTGCAGTCTCTTGCACAACATCTCACTTCTCAGCCAAATCAGCCAGTGAATCCTCATCTTCAGCCTCAGCTGCAGCATTCATCAGCAAATGCAGTGACAGGCCATCACTCTTATTCACAACCACAGCCTCAACAGCAAGTGCAGTTGGGAGGTCCACAACATGCTGTGCTTATGTACCCTCAAGGTGGGCCTCATCCACAGAACCAACACCCCATTCAAATGCCGGGTCAGTTTCCTCAACAACCTCCTTTTTTGCGTCCACCACAATCTCATGTTCCAGTTCAAAACTCTCAGCAACCTGGTTTGTTGCCTTCACCAGGTCAAGTGCCTAATGTTCCTCCTGCACAACAACAGCCAGTGCAGTCTCATCCTCACCAACCTGGACTTCCTGTGCATCAACGCCCTGTTTTACAGTCAGTTCAGCAGCAATTTCATCAACAGCATTCTCAGCAGCCATTTTCTGGTCAAGCACTGGGACCAGTTCAGAATCAAATGCCTCAGCAAGGCACTTATCTACAACAACCGCTGCATATGCAGTCTCAGTTACGTCCTCATGGGTTGCCACAATCCTTCCCGCCTTCTCATGCCTACCCACAATCCATACCACATGGCACGCCACCCTATCAAGCCCAAAATCTTGGAGGAAGGCCCATGATGCCACCTTATGGAGTCTCAACAAAGCCACATCCACCCGCGCCTGTTGGCATGCAAGCAAGGGCAATGCAGGGAGGTTTAGGCCAGCAATCAGGAAATGCCCTGAGGACCAACAACCAAGATCAGTTGGCTTCTGAGCAACACACTGGGGCTACTTCAAGACCAATGCCTGAGAGACAAGGTGATCAGATAATTGATAAAGGTTCTGAAGCTGAATCAACTTCTCATAAAAATGCTAAGAGGGATCCATATGATTTAGATGTTGCGGCTGGTATTGGGGCTGATTCTGGTGAGGTAAAAACCATAAAATCTGAAAGTGATTTGAAACCAGTAAATGATGACAATAAACCCATGGGCGAGATCAAGGATATTTCAGAATCACTTGGAGCTGAAAATGGTGAGAAGTTTATTAATCAGGTAAAGAAAGAGCCGAAAGAGGGCACTAATGACCAGAAAGGCGTTTCTAATGCCAACCGTAAACAAGTGGAACATTTTGTGTCAGAAGACAAAGAGACTATGGGTGGGCCTATGTTGAAAACCCCTCCCTTGCAGGAAGGCGATCATCTTGAAGACCAGAGTATGAAATCACAGGACAGGAATGTGACTCCTCAACTTTCTGGAGGCTTTCCTTTGCATGGTCAGATGCAAGGAGAGAACTTGCTACAGCCCTCTCATGCAGTTCCCATTGCTGACCAGGGAAAGCAAGAGCCTTCTCTAACTCCACACGGGCATTCTACCTTTCAACAAAGGCCTGTTGGGTCCTCATCGTTACAAGCACCTCCTCCCGGACCTCCACGTCACACGCAATTACCCGGGCATCCTTCTGCTCCATTGAGGCCTTTGGGTGCTGGACTTACACCTAATTCAGGACAACCTTTGAATCCGCCCTCTGAATATTTCCAGCAACCTCTGTACCAGCAATCTCATGGTTCTGATGTCTCACCTACTGGAGATCCAGGTTCTACATCAGTCTTTGGGAGAGGACCAAGTCATTATGGTCCACAAGGACCTTACACTCAAGGTGAAAGGAGGCCATCATATGGACATGAATCTGACATGTTCCCGAATCATACGGCCAATTTTATGGATGGCAGGAGACTGGATCCACTTGGGCATCAACCTGGCATGCCCCCAAATATGATGAGAATGAATGGTGCCCCAGGGCTGGACTCCTCATCAGGCCTTGAATTGCGGGATGATAGGTTTAGGCCCTTGCCAGATCCAAGTCGAATTGTTGATCGGGGAGAGTTTGAAGAAGATCTGAAGCATTTCCCTAGGCCTCCTCATTTGGGTACTGAAAAATATGGGAGTCACTTCCCCTCTTCAAGGGCCCTTGATAGGGGACCTCATAGTTATGGCATGGATTTACCGCCAAAACCTCTTGACAACGGACCACATGGTCTGAATTATGATTCTGTACCCCCAGGTGGCTCTGCCCCTCCAAGATTCTTTCCTCATCGTCATGATGGTATGATGCATCCCAATGATTTAGGAGAAATACCAGCTGGTTTTCAAGACAATGTTGTGGGCAGGCAGCCAGATGGTCGAAATCACCCTGATATTTTTGGACCTCCTCCTAGATATGGTCGCCGACATATGGATGGTATGGCCCCTAGAAGTCCAAGTCGAGATTACCCTGGCTTTGGTGCCTTCCATGGCCTTGATGATATTGCTGGTAGGGAGTCGCGTCGATTTGGTGATTCATATCATGGTAATAGGTTTCCAGTTTTACCCAGCCATTTGCGCAGGAGTGAGTTTGAGGGTCATGGTCAAGATGTGTTTCCTAAACATTTTCGGAGGGGTGAACATTTGGATCCTCATGAGCTGCCTAGTCACATCCGAGAGCCGATTGGTTATGGAGCTTCGCGGATGGGAGAATTGACTGGACCAGGGAACTTCTTTCATCCACGGCTTGGTGAGCCGGGTTATAGGAATAGCTATTCCCTTAAGGGAATTCCTGGTGATGGTGGAAACTATACAGTTAATTATCTTTTCCTAATTTAAATTTTGTTTAAATATTACCTAGTTCATTTTCTTTCATTGTTAGAAGTAAATGTCCTTGTTGATGTTTTATTAAATTCTTTTCAATAACAATATAGCATATTATTTTTCCTGAATGCTCTTCTTTTCATTCTGGATGTTTCCAGGGTGATTTGGAGTCTTTTGATGGTTCCAGAAGGAGGAAATCATCTAGCATGGGGTGGTGTCGAATTTGTAAAGTTGACTGTGAAACTGTGGAGGGCTTGGACCTGCATTCACAAACAAGGGACCATCAAAAGATGGCTATGGATGTGGTTTTAACAATCAAGAAGAATGCGAAAAAGCAGAAGTTGTAAGTTATTGGGGATTTAAATTAGAGCACACAGTTCATTATCTCAACTTTGACTCCAAGTATTAAGAGGAATCTCTGTTACTCCCTTTTGTTTGGTTTGTTTTGTAGAGCTCCCAGTGATCATTCCTCACTTGATGACACAAGCAAGTCAAGGAATGCCAGTTTTGAAGGCCGTGGTGGAAATAAGAATTAAGTTGTAGTCTTGCAATCTGGACTGCTAGGTGCTTTGCTGACTGAGGATTGAGTTTGTTGCTTTGATATATCTGAACTTGGTGACTTACATGATCCAACCTTCTGTGCCTCTGCACTCATGGCGGTTTTGCTACTCTTGTCATTTCAGCGTGTTGCCACGTTAAAAGGAGATGTTTTTCAGACCTGAAGTTCGGTGGCAGTTAAGTTTGTTGGTTTTTGATTTTGAAGTCTTTACTTTAGAACTGGGATAGTTTTGTGCTGATGTTAGTGTTATCTAGCTAAAAGTTGTTTCATGTCGGTTCATTGTGCATGTGGCTCTTATCTTAGTTTTTGAGACTTTCATTTTGATATTAATATCTTATTTAGTTCCCCTATCATTGCTTAAAGTGGAGTTAATCTTGGTTTTATGACAAAACTTAACTATAGTGTTTCAGTCTTTGATGCTGGGAAGTATTTATACTAACTTCAAATTGTCGCTTGTTGTGAAAATTACATTGGGTTGCTTAGATCACATCTACTTTTGATGAATAAGATTAGCACATGCATGCCAAGTGCCATCTAGTTGTTTGAAGCTGAGAGTTTTTCCCCCCTTGCATTCAATTTTAGGATTTTAGATAGTTTGGATTGTTAAACATATTTTGGGATTTAGGGAACCTACTTTTCTCTTTCAAAGATGTTGAAGATTTTGTATAATTGAGGATAGTTTTTCCCCCTTCTCTTTAATATCATAAAGAAGTCAGAAGATACTTTAAGCCTTCTTATTTCTCTATTGCTGCAAAAGGTTGATTTAAAGATCCTATCTTGGCTAATAATTCATTGAAGAGAATGAAGCTTTAAGTTAGTATGTGGAGGGAATTATTCTTAATTGATTGTGAAAATTGCTGGATAATATGCTTTTTGATATGTTCTATTCAATGATGAGATTACTGTTGGTAAAAAAACAGAGTTAATGTTCCTAATTGAGTGTTATGTTTAGGGAAAAAGCAAACATTTTAAAAAACAGAGTTAATGTTTCTAGTTGACTATTTATAGTAAATGGAGAAAAACTTAGACATTTTTCAACTTTTTGAAGAGAGTAATGTTTTCGAATTCTAAGCAGATTGTTGCTGCCACATGTTTAGTTTCTCATGCACATTCTTTTTGCTACAAGATTTCTTTATTCTTAAGAGGTTCCATTGAGGAGTTTATACTTAAAAAAACTAGGAATTTGACTTGATGTCTTAGGGTCTTTGGTCAATGTCAACGAAGATTATGCTAGATAGTTTTTGTTATTTTAGGAGAGATTTTTATGCTGACTCGTCGCAAGCTAATGAGAGAATTTGAAGGAAGAGTAATCAATTGGCTTGTGAAGTATATATATGCTCTCGGCTCTATCCATTTAATGTCTATAAAAAGAATTGGTTATGTTATATAATTCTGGATAATAAAAAATCTGTTGGAAGTTGAGTTAGGTTCAGTTTCTGAAGTAGTAATAGGCTAGCAAAAAAGCATTGGTTTGCTGTTACCGACCTTCTGTACAAATCCTTTTTCCATTACCAATTCTCGAACATATGATATCGCTCATACCTTAAATAGAGGAATATATAGCCAGTTTTGTATGCTATCAGAAATTTCCATTTATTCTTGTTCAAGGCTCGTGGAAATTTCTTGGCTGATTTCATATTATATTCACTGAAAAGTGCTGCTCTTCAGTAGCATTATTGCTCAATCTAGTTACTTAATAATATGAGGCATTTCATAATGCTGTCACAATTCATTAAATCTGTTAGTGTTGATTTTGTTTTTTTTTTCTTTTTTTTTCCATTTCTGGTGAAATTCTTTTATAATAGATTTTTTCAATTCGACCTGTCTTTTTACGGCTGAAGCAGACAACAAAAAAGACTGAAAGTTCAGCGGAAAGGTTTACTCAATCATCTTGTTTAGATTGGTAAGGTTGTGTTCAGTGTACAGATGTAAGTAGTGAACTTTTGCTCAATAGCATTGACGTTTATTGAATTTCTTTTTTGTCAACTTTTAGTATTTTTTTTTTAATTGGTGAAGAGCTTATTTACTTCAATATTCAAGTGGAAACTATATTTGGATGATCTTTGTGATCATCAGAAAATGGAGTAGAAAACATAAGCTACCATGTTAGAAATGTTCCTTGGCCTATTTGAATCTGGGGGTGTTGATTTGTACATTACCCTTCTTTTGCCTGATGGAGTATTGCTTATCTGCTCTTCTTAATGAGAAATTTAACTTTTAGGATTTTTTTCTCCTTTAGATAAACATTTGCTTTGTCTTGCCCTTCGTTATTACTTGAGAAATTTAATAATTTTGCCAGACGTAGTCTGTTACTTATCAAGACATAATCTATCTGAACTCCTAGTGTATTTTTCTTATTATCACTTGAAATTTGAGAAGTTTGAATATGTGATTAGCCATAAGTAATCACTCGAGAGTATTCTAATGCTGCCCTTCTCTCTTAATTAGCAATTGTCATAACTCTTGGGATGATTTTTCTCATTTAGATCAATGCTTACAGTTCAATTCTCATCAACTGAGAAGTTTTAATAATTTGCCAAATGTGAATTCAGGTTGCTAGTGTATTCATTCCTTAAGGTCAGGTCTAACCTTAACATGAGTAGTGAAATATATAAATGATTTTATTGTTATATATGCAAAATTGTGGAAGTCATTTAGGTTTCCAATTGCCTGAAATGTTTATTTCTGCTGTTGGATCTTTCACTTAGGAATAGTGGTGTAGTTCCTTTAGATAGGCTTGATTGGGGTGTTTTGGAACAGCTAGGGTTGAGCCTTCTTTGGAAACAAAAACTACCTTACAGATTTTATCAGGCCAGTATGAAAAAATATAAAATTATCTATTTGGACAAAATGCTGTTTTAGTCAGTGTTCAGATTCTATCATCTGTATTAGTCTATGGATAAATCTACCAGGATCTGCTGTTGCCTCTTCAGTCTTTTTGATAAAATATGCAATATTATGTATGTGTGTACTTTTTTTTTTGGTTAAAGTAATTAACTTTCTGGTCATTAAATTAGAACAAATGTTTCCATTGATCATCTGTTTGGGCCGTATGAAGGACCATAGGATTTTTTATGCTACTTTATGTTTTCTACTTCATTACTTAGATGGCATCCTGAAGTTTTAGGCTCAAACTATAATGGTACATCACAGAGCATCATCATCCTCTTTTGTTCTTTACCAGCAGAATGCATTTTAAGGAAGAAAAAATGCTGAAAAGGCCCTGTATAGAGGTACATTTTTGGTCAATATACACTGGCATGGATGTTGTAAAACATTGAATGGACAAAAAGAATGTGTAATGTTTTATGACCAAAATATCCTGGCATGCAAATTTGAATTAGCTATTAAACCTAGTAATTTTAATAATGTTTTAATGAGATTTATAGTATAACTCGTAAGTTATAACTGAATTTTGATTGGTCAAGCTAATACATAATATCTTTGTATTTCATTGTTGTATCATTCAGTAACATATAATTCCTGTGCCTATAATTGACATAACATTGTAGTACTTAATTTTTAATTTATGTCCTTTTTGAATATGTATGATGCATCATATATATTTTTTTAGAATTCCTGCTAGCATAAAATCATAAATTTTTAGGATATAAAATTGTAAGTTGTAATAATGAAATGTTAGAAAATGTATTTAGAAATATCAATTATAATCTCTACATTATAGTCAAAGTCAAGGTATGATTGAAAATATCCATGAGGATGCAAATAAAAATTCACTTCTTGCTGGATTACATTGAAATCTAAAGATATTCTGTTGTGATTTTTATCATTCAATGGAATCAAAAATAAAAATTGGTCTAAAATCAAATACAAAATAATTGAAATTTATTGACAATAAATAGGTCATTATTTTGAGTGCAAAATAACAATAGTGGTATTGGTTTTTTTTTTTTTTATTTACTTTAGATAAATATATACAATATAACATCTTAAAATTTTAAATTATTGGTAAATGAGAGATTACTCTGAGGAATTTGTTTCCCTTGTACTCGCGTTCATAAATATATGTAGATATGCATATAAAACCTTTATAAGTTTAGTGATCACCTTTTTGAGATAAAAGCACTAAAGATAACACATGGCCAAAAAATAAAAAGTGAATGTTCCTTTTACTGAAATAACATGTTATACTTGTAATGTTACATAATTTTGTTCGATGTGATAAAATATTGCAAAGAAAAAGAGTCTGAAAGTAGTTTAACATTGATATATCTATGACATACTTGTGAATATGTTACATCAATGTTAACTGACATTTGAAATTAATTTTTTTTTAATAATAGAAAAACAAATACTTTGTTTTTGTTGAATAGCACCTGCTACTGCAAGTGGCAAAAGGCTGTAAAATTTGGGCTGCTTTGAACTTAAACATATAAACTTGCATAAAACGACCCAGCTAATTTGCTATAAATTCTTTATACCAAAAACCTAACAAATCCATTTATCATAGTTGGCTTGGCATTACTTGCTGTAAACCTGCATAACTAGCAACCGCTTTGTGGATATACTTGTAACTTGTTCAATGTTCAAAAGGCTTGAATAGGTTAACGTGCAGTAGTAGAAGACTGGATTTTGATTGCTTTTCAATTGAATTTTGCCATTATTATTATTATTATTTCAAGATATCTTATGCTTCATAAAATTCTTTGTCATCTCTTCATACTGCAAAAACTGGGGCTTTACTTGAAGCTAATGGGGAGCCTTTTTGAACGTTGGATGGACTTCAAAACCCTGCTTGTACATACTGTGTTTTCCAGGTTTGTTGTTATTATTCCTGAACATTCTCAGTTAGAATCATCCATTTAGATAATCACTCTCCTGTCTGGCTATTCTTCATCATTTTTGGCATTAATTTTATATCCAGCTGCTTCAGTGGTCTTGTGAATTTGAAAAGGGTCTCTTGAGCTTGCTATTGCTTCAAATTAGTGGAATGCAGAAGCATACATGTACAAACTATATCAAATTGAACATTTATGGTGGACACTTTATTTTTTCAGCCATTATTGATTTCATGTAGTTCATATGGCCTATGAGCATTGGCTCCAGTTGTATGTGTTTTATGGTGAAATGTCATGGTCAAGCAGAAAAGAAGATATTTAAATGGTGCTAGATGAAGATAATAGCATGGCGATAGAAAGATATTATTATCCTCTCACCTATCAGAGACATGCTCATATGTGAATTGGTAATGAATGGTGATTGTTTGTTTATTTGTAGCAGGTTTTGATTATTTCTGTTCATAAGACTCTGTAAACCGTAATATTTTTAGTTCCCAATTAAAATCTTGGTAAAACAAATTTAAATATAGCTTAATATTTCTCAATTCAAATGGAAGAAAGTGTAAAAGGCTTAAACAATTTCTTTAGTCGAGGATATATGTTGTCTTAACTGTGATCCAAAAGGTGATTAACATAAAAAACTCTGCCTCATCAATATTTTGTAACAATAGATTCCAATAAATGAAGCTTAGTTACTAAATGTCTCATAACAAATGAGTAATGATCAAACAAAAAGAAAGTAAAATTGTCACAATATGATTCTATACACCAATGCTTAATCACTAAATGTATCATAACAAACGAGTAATGGTCAAACAAAAAGAATGTAAAATTGTCACAATATGATTCTGTACACCAATTTTACTTTGATACGATGGAGAAATCATAAATTTAGGGTTGGATGGGATTTCATGCGTAGCATTAGTTTTAGGTTGGAAGTTACTATAAAACTTTGTTGTTGTATGTATTTGGTACAATTCAGTTATTTTATTGTATTAGTTTAGTTGTTAGTCATTTCTTTTTTATAAATTTACCCATGGATATTTTTGTCTGTTTAAATGTTCCTTTCTCATCCACCTTTATATATGTTGTGGATAGATTGTTTACGACTCGGCAAATTAGATTGATTAGGTACTTGGAAAGAACCATATAGCCAAATTATGCATTCAGTAGTATGTGACCATTAAAGGACAAAAACAATGTGAGAGTAAATGCCTTTGATCAGATAAATAGCTTGCCATTCGCAGGGGTCAAAAATAGGAACAAGACAAGTGCAAGAAGATGCAGCCAGCATGGAAAAATAGATATGCATTCATAAATATTTACTCCACACTTGATGAATAGGCTTTTGTCAGGGGTGCAGTGTGTAAGCCAATTATTATCTTTTCTACCACCTGACAATAACACTTCTTAGTGTAGAGTATAATTTATTTGCGAGTTTCCTTGCAGACTAATTTGATAGATTTGTTTTAAATTTTTGGTAGTCGGGTTAATATTTTGTAGGTCTCTCAAAATAGACAGTTTGTTGCATTTTTATATGAAATGGTAGTTGTAACGTGTGAAAGCTATTTGATATTAGGAAGTTCAATTACAATTTCTTTCTACTGTATCAATGTATCATCATATTATAACAAATTAATAATGTGTTGTAGGAAGTAGTTCTTAGCTGTTTAGTTTTATTTTGGGTAATAATTGTTCCTTTTGTGTTGTGCGTACTGCTTTTGGCTAAAAGATGTCTCACTTGCTCATTTATTTTTTATCTTTAGCATATAGTGTTGTGACTTTTGTCTTGAAGCCTATCTCATGGAATTATATATACATGGGTACAAAATCATATTTACAAAGATGGGCGCTTGCACACTTTCTTTGTGGAACTTGTGTCCTCTTCATCTTCTTGTTCTTCTTCTTTTTTAACTAAACCATCATCTTATCACACTTTAGAAACAGAGTGAATAATATGAGAACTGAGCATAAATTTGATAATATAATTTACAGATCCGACTTATCATATATCAAATGTTGAGGTTCATACAATCCAATTAGTTGTGGGGTTTGCTTTTTGATCCTTAATGGCAATTGACTTGTATTAATGTTCTCTTTTTTTCATTTGGTTCCATAGGGCAGGATCTTTACACTGGTTGATTGTATCATTTATAATAATGTTATATTTTATTACCATATTGATTTAATATTTATTTCAAACTGTGAGCTTATAATTGAAAAATGACAAATGAAACTGTGAGCTTATGTATTTCAAAGTATTATAACAAAGTGAAAATTTGGATTAGGCATTCTTTAAGAGGGAACAATAGACTAGCCTTGTTTGAGGTAGCTGTGGCATTCTTTTATGTAGTTGTTAGGGTTTTAGTGACTTAAAATATTTTTTGCTTCATTTTTCCATTAATCCTCTATTAGAGCTAACAATGTTTCAAGTGTCTGCATGTCTATGCAAGGAAAACAGGGGCATTTTCTCGGAAAATAAACCTTTGGTGTAGATTCTTGCAGTTGGAATGTGAGTCTTCTACACTTTTCAGAGGAACGTGAATGCAGCATATGGAACTCCCAATTGGTGGGATATTCTCATTTGTTTATGACTCTATGTTGTTAATATGGCTGACAATTCTCTTTTTGCCTTTTGATATCTGTTTTTTTTTTCCTTTTAAATGAATTGATTTTACAACCATCTGAAATTAGATATTACCCTTCCGTTCCATTGCAAGTATTATTTAAAAAGTTTCTTTTTCTATTTAATTGTTAGTTTAGAAAATTAAGAATCTTTACATTAATCATTAAATAATTCATATTATTCTATTATAGTTGAATGATTTGTATTAAATTACTTTAATCATTAAAGAAAGGATATATTTGAGAATTAAGAAATTAAATGTATTTTAAGAAAAGGAAAATGGTGTATAATTTAGAACAAATGAAAAAAAAAAAAAAAAAAAAAAGTTTGCTTGTTGATTTGTATCTCTCTTGATATGGCAATTGATCGGTATTTCAGTTGTGGGTTCGGTCTATTTATTTTTCATTGTGGTGTCCATGAGGGCTCAGGTATCTTTTACACTCGGTCTGAAGTTGTATTCTATTTTATATATAATTTGTTGTTTTGTACTTTTTATTTTACCATACTTTGATATTAATGGGTTATTTTTTTGGTGTTTCCACAACTGTGGTCTTTACTAGAGTTTGTAAATGAGATACAAATGAACACTGTTGGAGCTTTTTGAGGTTTTTTTTCTGAAAGTATAGAGTGTTATATTGTGTATCTAAAGTGAAATGTTGGGATAGGGCATTTGGTCTTATAAAGATGGTGTAACATGTTGATTAGAGCCTTGGTTGTTTTGAGGTATGCTGTAGGATTTTTTGTAATGTGTTTGTCAGCTTTGTGGAGGGTTTGCGTATGTTGACCTATATATTTTTTTTCTTGCTTTTCCATATTGTGGTTCATTTAATGGCTCTCCTATTAGAAGGCTAACAGCTTTCAAGTGGTCTTGTTCATGTGGGTTAGTGCAAGTTGGACATAGGAATCACGTGGCATTTTCTCGGAAATATGGTAATATCTCTTTTGTGTATTGAATCCTGTGCAGTTGGAATGTGAGTCTTCTACACTTTTCAGAAGGAAACGTGAATGCAGCATATGGAACTCCCAATTGGGTTGGGATATTCTCATTCTGTTTTTGACTCTATGTTGTTAATATGGCTGACAATTCTCTTTTTGCCTTTGTGAATATCTGTTTTTTTTTCCTTTTTAAATGAATTGATTTTTTAGCAACCATCTGAAATTAGATATTACCCTTGCCGTTCCATTTGCAAGTATTATTTAAAAGTTTTCTTTTTTCTAATTTAATTGTTAGGTTCTAGAAAATTAAGAATCTTTCACATTAGGAATCATTAAATAGATTCATATTATTCTATTATCGTTAAATGATATTAGTATTAAAATTTACTTAATCATTAAAGAAAGGATATATTTGAGATTAAGAAATTAAATGTATTTAAAGCAAAAGGGAAAATGGTGGTAATAATTTAGAACAAATGAAAAAAAAAAAAAAAAAAAAAAGATTGTATACTTTAAATGAGATTTCGAAATAAGTCTTTTTTTTTTTTTTTGTTTTTTAATGTCTTGTCGGCGTTAGAAATTAAAAAAAAAAAAAAAAAAAAAGATTGTATCTTTATGAGATTTCGAAATATAGTCTTTTTTTTTTTTTTTGTTTTAATGTCTTGTCGGCGTCTAGAATTGATATTGTTTATTGACTTTTTTAATTTTTGTGTAATTACCTTGAATGAAACCGGAAGTATCAAACTTCGATGTTAGAAAATTAGTGGATTTCAAGAAGGTTTGTTTCTTTAAAGTGGTTTTGATGGATTAAATTTCATATGATGAAATAAAAAACAAATTTATTTCATCATCATTATAAAAAGGGAAAGAAAATTAAGTGTTATGTATTCTCCTTCCAAAATCTTCTATCACAAGAGAACAAAAAATATTAGTACAATGTTATATTAATGGAGGAAAATTAATTTTATTCCGCACATTTTCTTTATAAAAATATAAAAAAAGATTTAATATTGATAAGTTTAGTCTAGTTTTAATAGAAATAATAAAAAAAAAAAAACGCTATTTACTCTTAATTTTAATAAGAAAATGATTCATGCTCAAAGAGAGATTTGTTAGGAATCTGGTGAGTGCTTGCATTGCATGGATATGGTGGGTCGGGATTGGCAGATTCGAATGGTTAAAGTTTATAGGGAGTGTAATGCTGCCGCAGACAGTTTAGCAGCAGGAGCTTTACTAGGACCTTTGGGTTCTTCGTTTGTTAACTAACCTTCCTCAGCAAATGGTTCGTTCGTTGGAGGCTGATTGCTTTGGTGTCATTTGGCCTCGAGTGGTTCCTAGACGGGTTGAAAGATTTGTTTAATTGTCAAACAGTCATTGGTTTATTATCATCAATACTCTCTGCCACTAATTTTGGAAAATCTATGAGTTTATCCATAGATCATATACAGATTTTTAAAATTATTTTCATTTTATTTTTTTTTTTTCGGAGTGAATAATTAAAAATATTCCATTTTTAAATTTTTTATTAATTTAAATGGGTGGATCATACAGTTGTATGATAAATCAATACCACTAATTTTTCAATTTGAAAATCCAGTTTTGTTCATGGGGATACGTGTCACAAAGGACAAATGGTAAAAAAAAAAAACACTTTAAACGGCGCCGTGCTCTTATTTCAAAACTATTGAAAAACGAGAGCCGGCTGCTTGCTTAGGGTTGGATCCAGTTGTAATGCGTTTCCCCACTCAAATTTGAAATTCAAAAATATTTTACACCTAACTTTTTAACCGTTACAGCCTCGAAAGTATGAAATGTCAGCCATACATTCAAAATTAAAAAAATATTTAAAAATAGAAAACGAAAATCTTAGCCGTTAAACCCTTCTTTGTAGTTTCTCCTATATAAAGCCTCTCTTTCACTTTACCTCTTCTTCATTTCAGACTCTCTCACTCTCTCTCTCTCTCTCCCTAATTTCAAATCTTTTAGGTTTCTGTTTTCAATTTTCAAAAATACCCAGCCATAATGCGCGAGATCCTTCACATCCAAGGTGGCCAATGCGGCAACCAAATCGGAGCTAAGTTTTGGGAAGTGGTCTGCGCCGAACACGGCATAGACTCCACTGGTCGCTACCAAGGCGACTCAGATCTGCAGCTTGAAAGAATCAATGTCTATTACAATGAGGCCAGCTGTGGCCGATTTGTTCCTCGGGCTGTGCTCATGGATTTGGAGCCTGGTACTATGGACAGTATCAGATCTGGTACTTATGGTCAGATTTTTAGACCTGATAACTTCGTCTTTGGCCAATCTGGTGCTGGTAACAACTGGGCTAAAGGCCATTACACTGAAGGCGCAGAGCTCATTGATTCTGTGCTTGATGTTGTTCGAAAAGAAGCTGAGAATTGCGACTGTTTGCAAGGTACAAATTGCATGCCTAATCTAAAATCTCGCTTTTTGGAGGGATTTCTTTTATTGGGGTCTAATTGTCTCTTATTAAAGTCTTGATTCTTTTGTGGAGATTTGTAGTTTGTTTTAATTTGTTTTATTTTGTAGTCTAGTCTATTGATTGATTTTCCTCTTAATAAAGCCTTGATCTTTTTCGGTATTTTTATTAGGTTACTCATCCGCTAGTATAAATCTTCTTTTGGGGGTTTTGCAATGGGTTTTGATTGTTTGTTATTATTAGTCTGTTGTTTTAGAGGTACTTTTAGTGCGTTCTACTTTTCTGTTAATTAAGCATAGTTCTTTCTGAAGACTTTCAATGGTTAAGCTTTTTCTTTTGTGGGATTTTTTATGTGTTAATTGTTTGATTTTTGAGCAGGTTTTCAAGTGTGCCATTCTCTCGGAGGTGGTACTGGATCTGGAATGGGAACGCTATTGATCTCTAAAATTAGGGAAGAATACCCAGATAGGATGATGTTGACTTTCTCTGTATTTCCTTCTCCTAAGGTCTCTGATACAGTTGTGGAGCCTTATAATGCCACTCTTTCTGTCCATCAGCTAGTGGAAAATGCAGATGAGTGTATGGTTCTTGACAACGAAGCCTTGTACGATATTTGCTTCAGAACGCTCAAACTCACCACCCCAAGCTGTATGCCAATCTCTAACCCTTTTTTTTTTTTTTTGCGAAGATTATTATTTTTATTGCAATTGCCAATTTTAATCATGGATTTGATTGTTTTGTAACAGTTGGTGATTTGAATCACTTAATCTCTGCAACGATGTCTGGAGTTACTTGCTGCTTGAGATTCCCTGGCCAGTTGAACTCTGATCTGAGGAAACTTGCAGTGAATCTCATTCCATTTCCTCGTCTTCACTTTTTCATGGTGGGTTTTGCTCCTCTTACGTCCCGTGGGTCCCAGCAATATCGAGCTCTAACTGTTCCTGAGCTCACACAACAAATGTGGGATGCTAAGAATATGATGTGTGCAGCTGATCCAAGACACGGGCGTTATCTCACAGCCTCTGCTATGTTTAGAGGGAAAATGAGCACAAAAGAGGTTGATGAGCAAATGCTAAATGTGCAGAACAAGAACTCTTCTTACTTTGTGGAGTGGATTCCAAACAATGTGAAATCAACTGTTTGTGATATTCCACCAACTGGTCTAAAAATGGCCTCAACATTTATTGGCAATTCCACATCTATACAAGAGATGTTCAGGCGTGTGAGCGAGCAATTCACTGCTATGTTCAGAAGAAAAGCTTTCTTGCATTGGTATACAGGGGAAGGGATGGATGAAATGGAGTTCACTGAAGCTGAGAGTAATATGAATGATTTGGTTTCTGAGTATCAGCAATACCAAGATGCAACTGCTGATGAAGAAGGCTATGAAGACGAGGAAGGAGAATATCAGGAGGAAGAATATGAGTAGAATATTCATTTGAACCTCAACTTCTAGTTGCTGGTTTATGTTTTTGTTGGTTATTATATGGATTGTAGCTAAAAAAGAACTAAAATAGCACTATTAATTTATGTAACTTTGATAATCTATTTATTTATCAGTAAATTTCCTCTTTCAGCCTGCAGATTGTGCATTTCCAGTTTCTTTCATTGCTAAATTGGTTGATAGTATACGCTAAGATTCGGTGCTGTGGTTTTTTCAAAATGATAATGGCATCTTATATGCATGTTGATTCTGATTGCTTGAAATATTCTAATTGTTGAAATAGGCTGCTTCAAATACAATCTGCTAATCGCCAAGTTTTGAGGATCCATATTTATTGATTAATGTGTCTCTCACAAACATCTTCCATATGCAAATGTGGGATCTGCGCATATAGGCTTGCTATTGTCTTTTTATATGACTGGGACCCCCTGCACATGGAGTACTGCCTCCCATAGCCTTATTGGCAGTGGAGAATGCTAAGTTTTGTGTAGATGCAAGGCAATTCCCTCCGACATGAACTCAAATAAGAGAATGAATTGTGTTCTTCCCTAGGCGATTGTGAAATTTCCTTCTGTACTTCATATTTGCAACAACTTGCTCAATTGAGCCAAGTAAGCCACTTGATGTTAAATGACTTTAATGACCTGTTTGCAGTAGAAAAGAAAAGCCAAGAAGTCATTAAACTAATAAAATGACAATAATGTGCAAGGGGTTTAAAATGTGGCATCTCATTCTGCATTTGTAAGTATGTATCAAAATAGAAAAAGGCCAAAGTAGTATAAATCCACAGAAACAATCAGCAGCAGAATACTGCCAAATGGAAACTAAAATCCCCAACTTAGCATTTAATTAGCAAAATAAGTAAACAAATCGATAATGACAAAGAATAACATTGATGAACATAACAAAGAATAGTGTTGATAAATCCTAGGGATGGAATTCAAATTTCCACTCTCTAACTGCCAGCTTTCCACAGGATTCCATCATACGAAATGACATGTACATATTCTTTTCTTTTTGACAGGCAAATGAGAGAGCAACAGTCTTGTGCCAACAGCTGGCTAAATTTGCACAACAGGGAAATTTTCGTTGCCACCAAAACACATTTCTCAGAGATTTATAATGTTGTTTTATATTGTCAAGATTATATTATATAAAAGAAAACAGATTCCTTGTAAGTTAATCAGCACAAGAAAAACAAAAAAAAGAACACTCGTTGACATCTAAAATGTCCTGATAAGTACACCGGACTACTATATAAACACAACCCACAAAACCTAATCTCACAAAGAAACACATCTCTTCTCTTAGAATTAATCCAGGCCTGTAAAACCTTCCATTGTTATACTAATTAACATGGCCCTCATCATATTCATTGCTTTCTCTCTTGTCCTCCATGGAGCTCTTGGTAAGACGTACTTCAAGTTTCTAACCATTTCTATATGAATGCATGGTTACAGTTCGCAGAAAATAACTTGTTATAAAAAGCCAAAAGGGGCTAAATTTATGAAATACTAACATTCTTTATTGTTTAGGTGAGCTTGTATGTGAGAAACTGCCTGTTGAGCTTTGCTCATACTCAATCGCATCGTCTAGTAAGCGATGCTTAATTGAGAATTTCGCGACAAAAGATGGAAAAATTGCATACCAGTGCAAGACATCGGAGGTGGTGGTTGATATATTGCATGAATGGATTGAAAGTGATGAATGTATTAGTGCATGTGGAGTTGACAGGAACACTGTTGGTATCTCATCAGATACTCTCCTTCAGCCTCAGTTTTTGGCTAAACTCTGCTCAAATGACTGTTATCAATCTTGCCCTAACATTGTTGATCTCTACTTCAATTTGGCCTTGGGCGAAGGTGCATATATAACTCTTTTTACTCAAATTTTATGTTGCAAATATTGTTTCCTTGTTACATTCTCATGTCACATTTTTCATTTTTACGCTCATATTATTACTTTCATGCTAACCATTAAATCAAATGTGAATTAGATTCTCCAGAAGAAAATCTAATTAACTATATTTATTAGATCTCTATTTACATTTTATTTAGAACTGTAAATAAGCTGAGTTAAACCCATTTCAGCCTGAAAAAACCATAGCTTCAAGTTGCTCATTTACAAGTTCAAACTTGAGTTCGAGCTCGACTAGTTTTTAAATTTATGGCTAGGCTCAAGTTTAGCTCTTTAAATTTATGGCTAATGTGCGATTTAGTTCATATATAGCCCTACATGTTATCCAATTGCATTGATTTTCATACAAAATCCATTTTGTAATTACAGGAGTTTTCTTGCCTGATTTGTGCACCAACCCTCGTCGTGCCTTGTCCGCAACTGGAAGTTCCAGTTACGTAGCTCCTGGTCCGGCCTTCTTCGAAGTTTCTCCAGCTGCAGCTCCTGTTCCGGTTGATGTTGTGGACCCTGCTTGTGCTCCAACAACTGCCATATGATCTCGTAGATTATTAGTTAGCTGTTAATAACAGTTATTATTTACAGTTGAGTAGTTATTAAGATCCAATATTAGGGTCAGGATGTTATGTTACAAATTTATAATTGCAATTTTTCAGACTATATTTGTAATTTTTTATGCTTCTAAATTATCAAAATGGGTTAATCAATCTATATACTGTTTTCAATCTCATTTAAAATTACGGTAGCATCCCAAACAATTAAAAATGAAATTGCAAATTAAAAAAGTATTTCTAATGCCCCTCTCTAACCATGGTTAAACTTAACCCACCTTACCTATCAAACTTGAAATACACCTTTTATATTTATCTATTGGAAAAATGCTGCATTTAAAAAAAAAAAAACATATTAAGAACAAACTTTTACTTCCAATTTTAATATATTAGGGCATCTATTTTCTTCCATTTTTACCTATTTCTTTTTTCTTTTGGTGTAAATCACCGGTAATCGAACCATATCACCAGGGACCGTTTAATTCGGCTCGGTGTTTAATTACAGTTAAAGCTCTTCGGCTCGGTGTTTAATCAAAGTTAAAGCTCTTCGCCCCTCCCTATAAGTGTATTTAACGCGTATCGAATCTGAGAGATCTTTCCTCATGTTTAGCCTATATTGCCAACTGAGCCACAATTTCGTAGGTCTCTCTTCTTTTTTTTTTTTTTCTTTTATCTTTCGTATTTTCATTTCTTGATAATTTGCTCTCTATTTTTCTTTAAGGTATTTTAGATGATGATAATAAATTCAATTAAATTTTAATTTATATCAAATATAAAATTTAATTAAATTTCACATTTTAAATTTTTTGTAAAAAATATAAAAAAATTATACATAAAATAAATTCTCGATCTAAAATTTAATTAAAATGAAGTATGCACTTTAAAATCTTAGATTATTACCAAAAGTTAATTATCTCATTATCTTTTCACATATGGCAAAAAGCTAGGAATATGACAAGTTACAAGTTCACAACCACAAGCAGTGAGTTCACATTAGGAATTCAAGAAAAGGTGGGGCAAAAGAAGGGTCAACTATGGGTATATCTAATTTATTTATTTTTAAAATATTACATTTATAAATTATTATTATTATAAATGTGACATCCTACCGAGTTGAGTCTTAGCACTGAGTCGAGTCATTTCATGGAGTCGAGTTGAGTCGGGCCAAACCAAACCCGGTTGGGGTAGAATGATTTCTTATCGGGTTAATTATGTGTTTTGACATTTTTCCATTGTTTGATTTGTCTGTTGGTGAATATACAGCTGATGTTCTACATCACGTCCATTGTCTGTAGTGCGCCTAGTTTAACTTTCCTGCTGTTAGTTTTGCTTCTGTCACTTTTATCTTATTTTGTTCGTGTGGTTTGGCACAGCATTCTTACATATGGTCAACTTGATATTGGTGGTTCGGCTTCGATCTAGTTTTGTTGAAAGATTTAAATGGGCTAGTTTCTCAAGTTTAGCTTCGTTAATAATTTTTATTGCTATTGTGCGATCTTTACGTTCGATATATATTGCCCTACTTGTTTATCTTCGACTATTGCTATTTGATGTGTGCTGAGTATCGAAATCCATTTTGTAGAATTACAGGAGTTTTCTTGCCTGAGGTTGTCACCACCCTACGTCGTGGCCTTGTCGGCGCAACTGGAATGTTCCCAGTTACGTAGCTCCTGTCCGGCTCTTCTTAGCGTATAGTGTTCTCTTCAGTCTGGCAGGCTCTTGTGTTCCGGTTGATTGTTGTTGTGAACCCTTGCGTGGGTGGCGTGCCAACCTGCCGATAGTTTTTCTTTGTGTGATCTTCGTGAGATTATAAGTTAGCTGTTTTAATAACAGTTATTTTATTTACAGATTTTGTAGTTAGTATTAGTTAAGATCCCAATATTAGTGGTCCCAGGGATGTTTTATGTTACAAATTTTTTATAATTGCATTATTTGTGCTAGCTATATGTGTAATTTTTTTATGCTGTCTAAATTAATCAAATGGGTTAATTCATCTATATATCTGTTTCATATCTCATTTAAATTAAGGTAAGCATCTTTCAGAGAATTAATATTATATGAAAATTGGTTCAAATAAAATAGTAATTCTGGATGCGGGTTCCTCTTCTTTCCTAAACCATGGTTTTAATACTTACCCACCTAACTCTTTACGTGCAACACTTATGAAATATCTACCTTTGGTGATATATGTATTCTATTATGGAAAATGCTGCTGCATTTTAAAAAAATAAAAACACTATCTTATTATTGTTTAACATAACTTACTTCCAATGGTTTGGGAATATAGTTAGGGCATTTTCTAAATTTTCTTCCATTTTTAACTTAGTTTTCTTTTTGTCTTTTTTTGGTGTAAATCCGGGTAATCGAACCAATATCACCAACAAGGGACCGTTTAATTCGGCTCGGTGTTTAATACAGTTAAAGCTCTAAATCGCTCGGTGTTTCTAATTCAAAGTTAAAGCTCTTCGCCCCTCCCTATAAGTGTAATTAACTGCGTATCGAATCTGAGAGATCTTTCCTCATGTTTAAAGCCTATATTAGCCAACTTGAGCCACAATTTCGTAGGTCTCTCTTCTTTTTTTTTTTTTCCTTATAGTCTTTCTATTTTCATTTCTTGAATAAGTTGCTCTCTATTTTTCTTTAAGGGTGATTTTAGAATGATGATAATAAATTCAAATTAAAATTTTAATTTATATCAAATATAAAATTTGAATTAAAATTTCACATTTTAAATTTTTTTTGTAAAAAAATATAAAAAAAATTATACATAAAATAAATTCTCGATACTTAAAATTTAATTAAATAAGTAATGCACTAATTAAAATCTTAGATTATTAACCAAGTTAATTATCTCATTATCTTTTCAAATATGGCAAAAAGCTAGGATATGACAAGTGTACACAGTTCAACAACGCACAAGCAGTGAGTTCACATTAGGAATTCAAGAAAAGGTGGGGCAAAAAGATAGGGTCAACTATGGGTATATTAATTTTTTATTTTTAAATAATTAACATTTATAAATTAATTAATTATTATAAATGTGACATCCCTACCGAGTTAGTTCTTAGCACTGAGTCGAGTCATTTTCAAATGGGAGTCGAGTTGAGTCGGGCCAACCAACACCCGGTTGGGGTAGAATGAATTTTAAGTGGACTTACTTGATTGAGAGAAAAAGATCAAAAGCATATGGTGAAATGATTTATTTGCAATTAAAAGACCAAGCTTGGGTACTATAAGTAGTAACCTTGTTGACAATTGAGGTACCATTTAGGAAGTTTCACAATAAATCATTGTATTATTGATGGCCTACCGTAATAACCATTTCACTTTCCCATTTTCATCTTTATCTTCATCTTCTTTCTTTCCTTCCTTTCTCCATCCATTTTCATGGTAGTTTAAGGCAACCTCAATTTTCTCCAAGTAAGTAGAATTTCTTGAAGCTTTATATTATTCAACCTCTAGCTATATTGTAGATAAGTTATGAGAATTCTGATGTGTATAGGAGAAGGGAGTTCAAAGATTGTAGAAAAGAGAAGCTAAAGAAGAACTCAAGCTTTTTGGAGTTAAGGTTTGATATCTCTTGTTATTTTCCATTTTTCTTTGTATGAGAATTATGTGTTATGTTGCTAGTGAGACAATATATTGCTTCATGTTGAGTGGGAGGACTGGTACTGGTGAGAAACAAGGGAAAACAGGGGAGGTATTGAACAAATGAAGTAAACAAATTGGTTTATGTTGAAACAGGGCTTGCTGGAAATTTTACCAGTAACTTCATCTTGATTTTGACCCCATTTAATGATCGAATTAGGAAGTGTCATAGAAGGATTTTGACCCCATTTAATGATGGAATTAGGAAGTGTCATAGAAGAGTTATTTGTTCCTCTGTGTGTTAGCTTTACATGGGTTTTTGAATTATCCAAATCGGAGTTGTATATTGAGAGATATGATCAAAAGAGTACAGCCTGTACAGGCTGGAAGACGCGACGCGCGCGCGCGAATTGCATGACGAGTTCGCGTTGCATTTCTCGCGCTCGCGAATTTGAACTACGCGCTAGCGACTTTCACCTGAAACTCTCTGACTCTCATTTGGCACTTCTCGCGCTCGCGACTTTCAAGTGCGCGCTCGCGACTTCGCCCTTGGCCTGTAAGCGCTCGCGACCTTCATCGCGCGCTCGCGAATTTGGCCTGGGAACTCACTGTCTCTCATTTTGCACTCTACGCGCTCGCGTGCAACTTCTCCGCGCTCGCGCTTTCAAGTACGCTGCTCGTGACTTGTGCACCGATAAACTCACTTGTCTCTCATGCTGGTGGCTTTACGCGCTCGCGACGTTGGCAAGGCGCGCTCGCGACCTTGTGTTTTTCATGCACTTTTTGGACTTCTTTTTCAATGCATTTGGTATATTCCTGTTGCCTTCAACTTATATGCACTCCAATCATCTTAATGACCAAAAATACAACATTTAAATCAAATGTTATAAAACAAACATGCACAGCATGCAAATGATGTGAAATCAAAAAAAGTAAACATTATGATTTAGGAAATAGAATCCTCATTAAGTAAGAAATCTTTTTGGAGATAGGAAATTGTTTAGGCTTTGGATTTCTTCTCAATTAGGACTCTTCCATCTGCCAAAACAGGATTAGATTTTGATTTGTATGTCAGGAAAGTATCTGAACTGAGCCCATGCAAGTGATAGAGACTGGCTGGGGTTCTCAACTTAAGACAGCACTTAATTCGCAGCACGGGCGTACTGTACGGCAAGGTCGGGGCATGCCAGAGCCTGAGTTCTAAGGATGGTTCAGCACGGGTCGTGCTCAACAGCACGTCTAGAGAAGAATCTGTGGCACGGGCGTGCCCCATAGCACGGCTAGGGCGTGCTAGGCTCTGAGTCTCTAGGATGAAATGCATCGCCTAAGCGCACCTTTGTGTTGATGTCCTCTTTAGGCACGGGTGTGCCAGATAGCACGGTCAGGGCGTGCTAGAGTCTGAGTCTCCACTTGATTTTCCTTGAGTCCAGTACGGGCGTGCTCAGCGAGTTACCTGTTTAACTCGCAGGTTTTGAGTTTGGACCGTAGAGAGTCAGCTTACAACTGCTGCAGTTCATCTGTAGAAGACTCAGTCTTATGTATTTTTTTGTCTACCCTTTT